CACCACATCACTCTAGGGTTTAGGGTTTAGCTGTCACTTCTTCAGGTAGTTACCACATCACTTTTAGGGTTTCTGCTGCGTTGCTCTAGGGTTTGGGGTTTAGCTGTCACTTCTTCAGGTAGCTACCACATCACTTTTAGGGTTTCTGCTGCGTTGTCACTTCAGTTATAGTCACCACATCACTCTAAGGTTTAGGGTTTAGCTGTCACTTCTTCAGGTAGTTACCACATCACTTTTAGGGTTTCTGCTGCGTTGTCACTTCAGTTACAGTCACCACATCACTTTAGGGTTTTCTGGTTTGCTGTCACTTCTTCAGGTAGTCACCACATCATTTTTAGGGTTTCTGCGCGGTGGCCAACGCGGGAGAACCACCACCTGACAAATACATGAGCACGCAAAAAGCCACCACCACCTGGTCGGCACGCACGGGCCACAACATTACAAGACAACAACCAAGAATGCCCATGCACATTGCCTCCAACAACACAACTAACATACGCGATCATCCTTCCATAACAAAACAAAAGGCTCCGGTCACATTTGACCCAACCTCACTCTGAAAAGGGGGCCCTTGAGTTGCTCGTTTTTTACGACGGAACAGGGGCCCCGGTCACATACGACCCTACCTCCGGTCACCTTTGTCCCTACTGGATCTGTTAGATACATCGAATGCTGCGTTCCAATTCCACGGCAGGGTCACGCGAAACGCACCGGTCACATTTGACCCTACCTCACTGTCAAAAAGTGGCTCTTCAGTTGCATGGTTGTTACAACGGAACAGGGGCCCCGGTCACATGCGACCCTACCTCCGGTCACATTTGACCCTACCTCATCGTGAGGTAGGGTCAAATGCGACCACGTTGAGGTAGGGTCAAATGCGACCGTCCTGCCTCCTTGCAATGACTTTCATGATGCTGATTCCTTGCAATGACACCTTGTAATGACTCTCATGAGAACAACTCAAGTGAACCCAGCGGAAGAACCCTTCGCCATGCTTTCGGGAATAAAGAAGAACTTCCACCTTGTGACGTCGCAAACCTACTAGCAAGAGCGCTATTTGCCCAGAAATCCTGGGTTTGCCAGGGACCCCTTTAAAGGCAGCACCACATATGTGTGTGTGTGGTTTTTCGGATAACTCGGGTAACCCCCTGGAAGCGAAGACTAAAACCTGCGGCCCATATCCTGAATTTTCACCCGTCACATGTCATTGCTGCGAACAGCGCCTCGATTTATGACAACTCCTCTACCTATTCGTTGGCTGAGAACTGAGCACGCGCGTTGCGCTTTTTTGTTTGCGCCGCAATGCCAACCATGCAAAACAGGTCTGACGGCAAATATGCGTATAGATTCCATTCCATCCAGAGATCCCTCCTTTCAGAAAATTGCAAGAAAGCGCAAAGGGATGTTCGAGGTTTCTCCAAACAAACATGGGTAAAAAGACTTGGGGACCAATCATCAGCCCATCATTGAAACAACAAAAAAAATGACTTAATACCGTCATTGTATTCCTAAGAATCATCATCATCATCATCATCATCATCATCATCATCATCATCGTCATCATCAGCAGCATCATCAGCATCACCACCCACCACCATCATCATCACCACCATCATCATAATAATGATAATGATAATGATAATGATAATGATAATGATAATGATAATGATAATCATCATCATCATCATAATCATCATCATCTTAATTAACAAGGAGAAAGCAGATCCAATACTTTCTGATAAATGATCAAATTCAACAACATATTGATTATACTCAAATTATAAGAATGCTGTGCTATGGACAGAACCCTGCACCTGTTGGTGACTGGTTTAGTCCGACATTCATACAACCTTGGGTTCAAACCACCATTCAAAGAAGTGGCTATCATATATAACCGCCATTACTTCAGCAATTATCGTCATCATCTAAATTGGACTTCAACCCCATTCTTTTATTTAAAGTTGAAGCCTGAACCACGGGTTCATCCATGCCTGGGGCAGGATCTTGCCCATCAGTCCGAACTCCGGAACGCTGTGCTCAGCTCTGCACTCAGCGCTCACTGGAGCTTCGGGCCCAGGCTTTCGAGGCGAACTCGCGGTATGCGAGATACGTGGACAAATTATCTCCATTTGCGGTAGAGCCCCTGGCAGAGATGGAAAATATGACCGGTAGTGGCAGGTTCCCTATAAAACCAACAGGGGAAGACGAAGAAATTGTAATAATATTAGTAATGATAATACGAATGAACCAGCAAATGGAAGATTAGCATGCCCAAAAGACCCCGACATGCTTGAGAAATTCCGGCTCCCTCTAATTGGTGGTTTGGATCTGGCGGTCTTCCGGGGGTGCAAAGCAACAACTTCCTAACTTGGCCGAACCCAAGTACCAATCCCCATTAAACCAAGTAGCAGAATCACCCTGCTAAAACTGGCCGTATGGGTTCTCAGTTGAACCCGCTGGTTCCGTGGCCGGTTCAATGATGGACTGATGCGGAAGCCCAAAAGGGGGGTGCTGGAAATTCCGTAAAGCAACTGATTTGGCGGCTTGGAGGGTCTGCTAATCCTTACTCCCCTGCAAAAGCACGTGCATCAACCATCCATTCTTGGAGGATTGGAGGATTCCAGGAACATTGCACAAAGTGAGTCATCTCCTTCAGATATTACTCGCCCACCAATATTCACATGGAACCTGACGGGGGGTTCCTGGAAGACCATATTCCGCTCATTCCATGAAAAAGGGTGGGAGGCTGTCGCCGTGTCAAAAAGAGACCGATATGGATCGCCCAGCGAACAAAAAACGGCCCGCGATATGGTTCTCCGAACTTGATCTGTCGCCGGGCTTGGGCTCGGAGGGGTCTGAGGGTCCTTACTCTGCAAAAGGACATGGAACAACCATCCATCTTTGGAGGATTCTCCTCTAGGTCCAGATTTCAGAGGTGAGAACCAGGTAATGTTCCGGATGAATAAACCGGTTTATGAATGGGGGGGTGCTCACCTCCAATAGTGATGACTCTCCACTAAAACAGGGGCACCCCCGATCAAAATCAAGCAGGGGTTTATTTATCCGAAATGCCCATTCCCCTTTTCTCTGTAGTCTATTTTAGTACAGGCGCCTTCCCCCGGACAAGAAACGGTAAAAGTTGGCACTGGACCTAGTCCTTTTGGACCAAGAAACTCAAAAACTTGGGCCCGGAGGCTCCCAGATCGAGGCCGGGTGAGTCATAATCAACACCCGGTAAAATGGTCTACCCAGAATGTAAAGAATTAAGAACGCGGATGTCCGCAGCTATTTATGGCAAGGGGATTGTCCTTTGCTAACCTTGAGCTACCCAGGTTTTGAGCACGTGGCTCATGTTGCAACGGATCTTGCCGTGGCTGCCGCGGCCCCGTCGCCCCGCGGCCGTAGCCGCGAATCCGTCAGTCCACAATGGTCGCGAAGCGACGGACCAGGATCTGGTCCCGGTACTTGAAGAGATCCGCCTGCGGAGCATCGAGCCGAGGTTCGAAATCCGCGCGCGCGCCCGTACGAATCGACAAAAAAAACTCGAAAGCTGGGGAAAACTAAGTTGAATACTTTAGGAGGGCAAGGGGAAACTCTCTCGTTGTTCCTGCAAAAAAGATGATAAGATGGCTTTAAAAGGACACCCCCTTCTGGTAGCTGATATAAAGAAAGAACCTCTCCAAAGAAGCAGGGAAAGGCCGCGCTCGCAGACTAAACGGCGGCCGCGAGGATGTGAGAAGCAGTCGTGGGGGGTCCGGCTCGCTCGCAAAAATCCATCCGAAATGGGGCAGCAGTGGCATAGCTAGGACCAGTTCCATTCGACCCGATCGATAGACATTTGGCCCGTTTTACCAGCTTGGCTTGATCAAAACAAACGGATGGCACCACCCGAAGGTGGTGTGATCATTGATGAAAACCAGAGCCCAACGTTCTCGGCTCAAGTCTGGCCCCTTTTGCTCTTGAATTGTACTATTCTGTGATGCTGTTTAGCTGGTGGGAACCGTTTCTCTTCCCAACCCACGTTGACAATCGCTGGGTCCATGGAAAAGTGGCTTCCAACATGAGGAACACGGGGGCCTCTTCTTGAATCCGACCTGCAAAAAAGCGACCACCCTTTGCTGGCGGAAAAGAGAAGAAAAAAAACAAGCAGCTCTCAGAACCAGAAGTAGTTGCTTCAGTCTGGCAGACCGCAAACATTGTTTCGACTTCCCCACCGTCTTTCTCCTTCCCCGTTTTGCCCTCACCAGCGACCAGGGCGAAAAAAGCGCCGCTCCTTGGCAGAAGAATCCGATCCCTTTGGCCCAGAGAAGAAGCCGTGGCGAAACCGCGGCTCCCCGAGCTGCGGGTATACCGTCTCCAAGTACCCCACTTTGCTTGGCTGGACAATTCGGACCCCGGCAAAAAAAAAGAAGTTTTGCCTGGTTGGTGGAAAACAAAAAGGACCCCCAAAAAACAAATAGAAAAATGGGAACTAATTCTGGGGAAGTTTGCTCCAGGAATGCAAAGTAAGAACCATCTGGGTGAATTGTACTTGGGCGGCTATTCCCCACATAAACCACCATTTGGGGTGAATTCGGTCGAGTGAGGTCGTTACAATTCACCCAGGACCATGCTTTCCATGGGGAACTGCCCCCCTTTTTCCAGCCGGAGGTCGCCATCCTGCCCTATCCTCGTGCGCAGATTCAACTTGAAGGCCACGGCTGTAGAGCAGAGGGCGGAGGTTGGGCGGATTAGCTGTGACGTGTCATGCCGAAATCCATTTCGCACCTAAGAAACCATGGGGAAAAACCATTGTTTGTTGGTATTTCCAGGGGAATGATCGTTCCAGGGTTTCTGAACGGTGGTGCAGGATTTCGTCCATCCACAGTGTCGCGTCGGGTCGCGTCCCGTCGAGTCGCGTCGCGCGTGGCGTGGCGTGTCGATTATGTCGTGGCGGCTTCGAGCACATGTTTTTTTTCTTTCGCCCGACTGTTCTTCTGACCGCTCAGCCTGAAGTTTGTCTAGTCGCGCTCTTGCAGCGAAGATCGTTCATCTTCACTGTCCTGTTCACTGGATACATTGCCCTCAGAGTCTCGACACCCGGCACTTCCACTGAGCCATATCCGCAGACGAGTCCATCGATCTACACGTATCCCCACACTCGCCCATGCAAAGATCATGCAAAGCGAGCGAGCGGCAAAGATAGTCCGACTGATGTGGATGGGGAACCGGGCGAACTCTGACCATGTCTCTGTATCCATGGTTGCAAGGGCGCTGCGACGAAAGAATTCCAGCAGAGGATCGCCCTGCACTTCATCATACCTCACTTAGCCAGTGGCCTGCCAAAAAAAAGTGTACACTTTTTCGGCCACCACTAAACTAAAGGGGAAGCCTTTAGAAGGAAAAAAAAAGTGTAAAGTGCGTCTACCTGCCTTTGGTGAGATACCCTTGCAGGTAGCACAGCAGTATCGGCACGTGCAAACAAAACATACCCCAAAGGCCCCAGGTCTGCAGGGCGAAGACCGCAGTATCTGGGCCTCGCTTCTCCAGCCTCCAGACCGATAAGGGAATGACCCCCACTGAGACGGTGTAGAGCAGGCAGAGAAGTGCAAAATATCTGTGGTGCGCCAGGTGACCTACGTGGACGTCTGACAACAAATCCAGTGCAGTGATGGACCAAGCGAGCATAGAGAAGGAAACCCCAGTCATCACATCAGTCATTCCCGCCCGCTCAATGTTCAAGCCATTGTCCCACAAACGGCGTAGGTTGTCTGTGTAAGCGCCTGCAGTCAACAGGATGCCGATCACAGTCTCCACTTCATCCTCAGCACCAGCAATGGCCTGTCTGATTCGTTGTTCATCCTCGAATTTTGAACAATGTGCATCATGCAAGGAGTGGAACTGCATCATCTCCTTCTGCTCTTCGAATCGAGCTTTCTCACCCTTCAAGAGAACAAGCAAGACGGTCACCGCGGCATTCGTGATAGTCAGGTTCGACAACCAGCCGTAGTGGGCAAAGAAGGAAACCGAGACACCCAAGCTATGGCCCTGTGACGCAGCTATGGACCACTCTACATCCATCAGGAAGAAAATGCATCCAATGAAAGTCAAAGCTCTCATCATATCTAAAGACCAGGAGTGGTGCCAACAGGGCACCACCAGCAGGAGGGCCAGCAAGCAAAGTACACGGTAGATCAACTCCAGCCAACTGTACAGACCTGTACCGGAAGAGCGCCCAACGAAGAAAGACAGACTCCACCACACTGGAATTCCCGCAAGAAGTCCACAGAACATGACTACGCCGACTTCTCGGAACCAATATTTGAAGGTCTCCGTTCGATCTGGGACCACAGGCAATAGATAAATCTTGTTCCATTTGGCTCCAAGATAGGCCTCATATACACACCAAAGCCGTGAGTAGACTCCCGTGGAAGGATTTGGAACTACAAGCAAGTGTGATGCTTTCAGCAATGCCAAAGCGAACGCACTTTCGAAAAGATGTCCGCCAATAAATTCATCCAAGTCCAAATTCTGTGGATTTGACAAAAGGCAGCAGTACAGGTTGCGACGCTGGTAGAGCTGGGGCCAAGCCACATGAACTCCCCGCTGAAGGTGGAAAATTCCGCCATGCCAGGAATGAGATACAAAGACCTCGCACTCCAAACCGTCAGGATGCTTCATCAAAGCGTAGCTGGCACCTCCCGCTTTCAATGTCATAGGCTTCACCACATAGCTGTTGACAGCATGCAGATTCGGGCCATGATTCGGATCCCAGTGAAGGGGGTTCGGCTCATCGCAGGGGATCTGATTTGACCTCCATCTTCTTCGCACCTCTTGCGCAAAGTCTGCCAACTCAGACCTGGTAATGCACCATCTGTCGGCAGGAACTGCACGGTGCAGATCTCTCGCCTTCGCAAAAAAGGCCATGCCAAGCGAATGCTGGGTGCAAAGAGAGCCGGAAGCTGGATCCTAAAACCGGCTTTGGAATGCGATGTGGAATGCACTCGGGCCTGTTCGTGAGTTGCAGTGTGTGTGGGTGCGTCTTTTCTTACCTGAACCCCCCCCGGCAAAAGCAAAACAAGAACAATGAAGAAGGGGTGGTTGTTTTCTCTGAGTGTCCCTTTCAAAGCCAACCAAAAAAATTGGGCTTAACTCCCCCTCCAAAAAAAACAGATAGATCCGCACGAGATGGTTGGTTCGTTCGCTGGACTTGCAAACTACATGACTTGACATCGGCGGCAGTTCATGTCACGACTTGCCCTCCCATCGGCCCCCTGGTGCATAGATGCGCCTGCTCAAAATGGGATCTGATTCACGGGTGTGTCCCAAAGAAAGGGGCAGGTCCCGTTTACACCAGCCCCAAAAGGGTTCCCTGGCAAAGAAAAGGACCTGCCCATGTGTTTTTCGGAAAGACCAGCGCGGTCCTAGTCGAATCTTGCTCATCCCCCTTCGCAGGCGATGCCTAGGGGGGATAGGGAATCTGCTTAGGGCTGGGCCAACCCCTCAGTGGGTCTGTCTCAAAATAGGGAGCAACAAAAATGGGTAGCTTCCTCTTAATTTCCATCTAAAAACCAACCAAGGGGTCCACCAAGAACGCCCATGTTTAAGCAGCTGAACCAACCTCCCTTTTTTGTTTTATTTTTGCAGGAACATTGGTCTGCTTTACTGTAAGGGGGTCTTATTAATGAAAACCTGATTCTCCCATAAGGTAACTCGATTTTGCTTTAATAATTCGGACCTGTAAACAAATTCTGGACAACCCGGGGCCAGAACTCTGGGAAACTAATACAGATTCTGCTTCATAGTCATAGTCAAAGCCTGTATCAAAATGGTCTACCCAAGCCATGCAAAGAATTTAAAGGCCCGAGAACTCCATTCCATGCCCTTTCATCTAACGGGGTTTTGAGCAAGTGGCTCCTACTTGGTCCACCAGGACGGAATTGCGGCTCATGTTTGGTCCTCAAAAAATGAATAGAGGAGACCCCAGAGCTATGCTGCTCCCTGAACATGAACTTTTGGAAACATCGATTGGCTTCCCTGGTTCTAAATGGGGGATAAGACTGAAGACCCATCTAAACCAGTGGGACACATCTATGTCCAAGCAAACCACCCGATCAAAACTTCAAAAGGACACCTACTGTGGATTTAACAAATTCTGCACCAAGTTGAATCCACGGTTGAAACCATTGTTGTCGCTATTTGCAGGGGAGTCGAGTCAGAGACCCGTAGTGTCTGAACGGTGGTGGCGCAACGGATTTCGCCACCGCCCCACAGCATGTCCCTGAAAAAAAAAACACACCTACTCACCGCGCCCGCCTGCAGAGCTGTCCACTCTGGCCGCAGCGCGCGCTCGTGCTTGCCCTCAGCATCGCACCAGACCTGAGGCGTTCTTCTTGGCAAGAACGCAGCGAAAGGATCGGGAGACATTAGCAAAGGCCCCAGACGATCGGAGATTCCCAGAACGATGTGTTCATCGTTCTCCATTCCCCAGTCCAAGGGCCCTCAAATCGATGTCCCAAATTGGTGGGCTACACCAAATAGAGTTCTGTGTTTGGTATACCTCGAATCGATTTCCCTACCAAACTTGGGTGTGGGCTCCTCCGGATTCCAAATTGCCCCCAAATACCGTGGATGGTGTTTCGCGGAATGCCCTCGCACCTAGGACGGCTGATTACAAACCAATGGTTTCAACCATGGATTCATTTCCTGGTGCGAAGGGATCTCGCGTCACCATCAGTATTTTGTGTGGGGGGGTTAGGTTTGGTTTAGGGTAGGTTTAGTGTGGTTGGGGGCTAAGGGATGGTTTAGTGCTGCTTCAGTGTGGGTTTAGGGTGGGTGGGGTTAGTATAGCTTTAGGGCTGGAGTTGCTTAGGGATGGTTTAGTGCTGATTCTTACTTGGTGTAGGGTTGGTTTGTTTGAGGTTAGTTTGAGGTTAGTTTGGCTAAAGGATGGTATGGGGTTTGCTTTGGCTTAGTTTGGTGCTGGTTTACAATAGCTTTGGCGCTGGATTAGGATATCACCGGGGCCTTTCGGGTGGTCGTGCAGCAGCACGTCCCAGGCGGCGGACCGACAAGGGGTGTTTTGGGGGGTCAGCCAAAAAGCCTCCTGAGTTGAACCAGTAAGCTCGGGTCGGATCCACTTTAGGGACTCCTGTCTGTTGCACATTTGGTGTTTTTCTAGGGTTCGACCTGTCAAAATGCTGGCTTTCCTTTTGGAAACCGTTCAACATGCCGCCAAAAAGGGGTACCCTCCCCCCCATTCCATGGAAGCTCCCAACCCGAAATGGAAGACTTGGCTCTATTTACCGATGCCTGCTGGGAGGAAACTAAAACAGTTCAGTCTGTGGGATAATAAAGAAATTGCCCCTCCCTTCCGATCATGGAAGCTGACCGGGAGGTGAGGGAAGACGACATTGCCTAGGTCCTCCAGTAGAGAGGTTAGAAGTAGGGTGCCCGATTTTTTTCCTGTCGTCTATTTTAGTAGGGTCCCGAACCCTCCCAACCGAAAAAGGGGTTAAGAAGGGCACCAATTGGTGGGGGACCAAGTTGCTGATGGGAAACTTCCCCTCTTGTCCACTTTCATTGCGAAGGTATTCTGCCCATACTGTGGGTGGACAAAGTCCATTTCGCACCCGTTCAGAAACCCTGGTTTCGGATGATTCTCCTGTAAATACCAGCAAATTATGGTTTCAACCATGCCTGGAATGAGGATTCTCCTGCAAATACCAGCAAATTATGGTTTCAACCATGCCTGGAATGATGATTATCCTGTAAATACCAGCAAATTATGGTGTCAACCATGCCTGGAATGATGATTCTCCTGTAAATACCAGCAAATTATGGTTTCAACCATGCCTGGAATGATGATTATCCTGTAAATACCAGCAAATTATGGTTGCAACCATGCCTGGAATGATGATTATCCTGTTAATACCAGCAAACAATGGTTTCCCATGCTTCAAAGTGGTGCGAAATGGATTTCGCAACCATCCACAGCGCTCATGGCTCGCGGCGCATGTTTCCACCTAACATGAATGGAGACCCCAGAGCTGCTTCCCGGATATATTTGTCACCTTTCGGAAAAAGAGATGGGCTTCCCTGGTCAATGGCATAAGACCCATCTAAACCACCAAAAACCCATCTATGTCTAACCAAACTAAGCGATCAAAAGGACACCTACTGTGGATGGTTTACGAAATCCGCTCGCGCCACTTTGAAACTGTGGTTGAAGCCATTGTTTGTTGGTATTTACACGGAATCGAATCCTTCCAGTGTTTCTTGGGTGGTGCGAAAGGCTTTGTTCCGTCGCATCCGCAGCATGCTTCTACCCCTTCAGACTTCACCACTTGCCGTGAACGTGGCCGGGCCCCCGGCCAGCTCGTGGGTGGAGTCGGAAACCCCCAGGCGCGTCAGCAGCTCTGAGCAGGTGACGCTTCGCTCCACCGGGATGCGCTGGGCCTCCTTTGGTGGAGACATGGCACCGAAAGCAGACGGTCCCCTCTTCTGCCCTTCCTCCCACATAGCACCTGTGGGAGGGATCAGCTTCCTCTTCAAGAAATTCTGGGTGCTATGCTAGTGGGAAGGAGGGAGATAAGGATGTGTCTGAACCTCACATTACGGTCAACCGCTCGTACTTGGCCTCCAACCAAACAAAAGTGTCGAGATTCCGGACCATACTGTGGATGGACGAAAACCGTTCGCACCACTTTAAACAACCACGATTGAAACCTTGAAACCATAACATGTACAAATCAAATCCGAATATGGGGTTTCTGCACGGTGGTGTGCAAAGCGGATTTCGCGCCACCGTCCACCCTGCCTGCAACATGTTTTGGGCTGGCGACCAAACCTCATCTGGGCGTGCCTTGTTTAGCGGACCCCCAATTGGCTTCCTTTTGGTGTCCCTTCAAACCGGCCCCAAAAAGGTCCTGTAAACCCACTCAAAAGGGAGTTGCCCGAAAAACGAGACACCCACATGGCTGTGGCTCAGAAGCATGGTGCCCTATTTGTTGGCCTCTTGGAAACAAAGACCAAAACCCAGGCCTCCAGTTGCTCAAGTCTGAAAACCGACCTATGTCCAGCGGTGAAATCGATTCCCTTGAAATCCAGGCGAGAATCAACCGTACCCAACCCAACCCTGGGGGAAATAAAACATACCCAGGGGGAAATAACAAAAAATACCCAAGCAAGCCAACCCAACCAAATTAAGCAAATGGAAGCAGGACCTCAATGTCGAAGCAGGGGTCCCTGCCGCAAGTGAGCGAACCTACCCGCTCAGTCTGTGCCACCTGTAGCCATGCTCTGTTCCTGTTTCTCTGTTTGTTAAGCTTACTTTGTGGTCAACCTTGCTATGGTGGGACCTTCGATGGATTGCCTTTGCCAACCTCAGGACAATGGCGTCTTGACCTCTACAGTAAAGGTAATGGAACAAACCTAGCATCAAGGTTGCAAGCGTGCGTTTCTTTCTGAGCATTACTGGTCTCAAGCTATCCTTGGAGAATTGGGCAAAACGACCTGACTAATCCCGGCAACAAGGTGCCCTACATTAAAACATGCCCTTAGGCCCCTAGAGAAATCGCCGTACATAGGCCAAAAGGTGCTTAAAAGCACAACGAGAAGTATGGGGACTCCTGAGCAACCAAACCCCAGAGTTTGAGAAGCCGTTCAGCGCAAGAGCGCAAGATTGCGTGGGGAGGATCTTCAGCAACGGCTAAGACGAGGCATGCTGAGGCCCCCCAAGAAACCCATCCGACCCGGGCGCCGATCTCAAGTCCTGGTCGGCCACCCGCACGTGCCACTGCCAGGGCTCTGGGATGCGCGCCTGCGGTGCCGTGGGAGACTGTCAGTCCGCCCCCCCACCCCCCCCAACCCAGTTCCTACTGTGGATGGACGAAATCCTTTTCGCACCACTTGGAAACATAGGAAGCCATTGCTTCTTGGTATTTACGGGGGAATCATTCCAGGGTTTCTTAGGTGGTGTAGGCTTTTGTCCATCCACAGTATGGTCAAGGGGCCCCCAAGAATGCCCCCGCCCAAAAAAAAGAGAGCATTTATTGATATATAGGGGGTGCCCCTGGTTTTGGGGTTCATCACTTTTAGAGGGGAGGTTGAAACCCATGGTCCGTCGGTATTTACAGGGAAATCATCCGAAACCAGGCATTCTTGGGTGGTGCAGGAGTTGGTCAAGGGTCCCCCAATACTGTGGATGGACGGAATCCGTTCGCACCACGAAATGAAAGGACGTGTGTTGGTATTGGAATTTACGTTGGGGAATCGAATCCGAATCCAGGGTTTCTGACGGTGGTGCGAGAAGCAAATTTTGCAACCATCCACAGTAGCGGCCGATTTCCCAATCCCAGGGAGAAAAAGGCGGCGAAAACAACATGATCGCAGAATTTGGGGCTGAGTTCGGTTTAGAGGTGTGGAGGTTGGGTGGTTTCTTTTATCCTCCAGTGACGCCTAAACATGGGGTTCCGGGATTGTTGGCATACCACCTGAGCTTATGAGTGGAATGGCAAAAACGTCCGTTTCCCCTGAAGTGGTCTTCCCAACAGTTTAAAGTCCAGGAACTCAGGGAGCGGTACAAATGATCTTCCCGACAAGCTGAACATGTGCACCGACAAGCAGTATTGTTGGCCCCTTGATGAACAGAGGGGTGTTCCCCTCCCAAAGCGGTCTGATTCCCCACTAAACCCAGAGAAACACGCCCCCGTTCATAAACTGGGGTCGATCAATCTGGGGGCAACCTCCGCGACGAAAAAAAAATCCACCTGCTTTTTCCCAACCCTTTGCGGGATATTCGGGGATCTCTCGGTTGTTTCGGTACCACCTTCGGCTTGCCTTCACCCGACCAGTAGCGCCAGAGCGCCAGAGCGCCCCCCCGCCTTCTTCCCACCCTCCAAGTCGACACAGATCTCCAGGCCTGGACAACATGAGTCCCGCTGCAAATGCCCGACTTGTGAGGGAATGTTGTGGGGGCATGAGCATCAAAAGGTCCGAAATACCTAGGAAAACCAGTGGTTGGACAGGAATACTGATCAACCCCCACAGTGTATCGGTGTATCCTTTGGTGTACAGAACACCCACCCCCGACCCCCCCCCCCCATGGCTGGTTTCCTTTTGTTGTTTGGCTTTTTCCACCGGTGCCCTCGAAAAAGACACACCCATATTGAAAATACAAACTGGGGTGCCGCGGTGTAGTCATTACCTCCTTCGGTCAGGGTTCACATCGTGCCCTTAAAGCAAGCGGGCATCCGGAGTACAGGGCGCCGAAAAGCGATGGAAATTCGGGTTGATTTGCCTTACTTCCCGGAGATGCTTCCTAAGATGCCGGGATTGTCAAGTTGCGATTTGTTCCGATCCTATTTATTTCTGCCCAGAGGCTCCCGATTGATTTAGGGCCTTCAAATAATCTGGTTTTGAGACCCCCCACCACCGGGGTCGGGTCTTCGGTCTTCGAGCCTCTGGGCGGAGATGTTTCCTAAGATGCCGGGATTGCCAAGTTGCGATTTGTTCCGATCCGATTTACTTCTGCCCAGAGGCTCCCGATTGATTTAGGGCCTTCAAATAATTTGGTTTTGAGACCCCCCACCACCAGGGTCGGTCTTCGAGCCTCCGGGCGGAGATGTTTCCTAAGATGCCGGGATTGCCAAGTTGCGATTTGTTCCGATCCTATTTACTTCTGCCCAGAGGCTCCCTCCCGATTGATTTAGGGCCTTCAAATAATCTGGTTTTGAGACCCCCCACCACCGGGGTCGGGTCTTCGGTCTTCGAGCCTCTGGGCGGAGATGTTTCCTAAGATGCCGGGATTGCCAAGTTGCGATTTGTTCCGATCCTATTTATTTCTGCCCAGAGGCTCCCGATTGATTTAGGGCCTTCAAATAATTTGGTTTTGAGACCCCCCACCACCAGGGTCGGTCTTCGAGCCTCCGGGCGGAGATGTTTCCTAAGATGCTGGGATTGTCAAGTTGCGATTTGTTCCGATCCTATTTACTTCTGCTCAGAGGCTCCCGATTGATTTAGGGCCCTCAAATAACCTGGTTTTGAGACCCCCCACCACCGGGGTCGGGTCTTCGAGCCTCCGGGCGGAGATGTTTCCTAAGATGCCGGGATTGCCAAGTTGCGATTTGTTCCGATCCACTTTACTTCTGGTAGGGATTGGATACCCCCTGTTCTAAGATCCATTGGATTCGGCATCCTATTGAAGTGAAGGGGCGAAGAAACTGTTCACCCAGGCCTCGTCCAAAATGTCTTTTTCCATTTTCGATCGGAATGCTGTGCTTCACTAAACGCTGGACAAGGTGCAGCCAGAACCCGTTTTTTGCATGGTCCCTTGTAAATCCGCCGACCCTCTGCCTCCCGTCCCAGCCGCCTGCAGAGGGGACCGGCGTGGGATGCAACTGGAAGTGATTGGAATCAGTGATAGTTTTTGGGGGCACCCGAACGCACAAAAAGTGGATTCCCAGGACCGGTCCCGGGACCGGTCCCGGGACCGGTCCTGGGACCAGTCCTGGGACCAGTCCTAGGACCGGTCCTGGGACTGGTCCTGGGACCCGTTCTGCTGCTTCAGATTACTTGCAGTCAGCCAAAACCGGTCCTGGGACCTGGACCAGTCTGGGAAGCCGGTCCCGGGATCGAGTCCTGGTGTGACTGCTGGTACTTCAAATTGCTGTGGTGCGACCTCAAAAAGCTCCAGAAAACTTTCCGGACTGGCACCCAGGACACTGGACAGGGTCCCAGGTCGTCACTGATTGCGACCAGTTGAGGGGGACCAACAGCCTTGTTTCTAGGACCAGCTCAACGTAACTTCGGCACAAACCGGCCCGTGCGGTTATTGACGGACGAGCTGTCATCTGTCTGACTTTTCCGTTAATCCTTGTTCGTGGTCGTAGAGGATCTTCTAAGTGGTCCCTGGGTTTGCGGACGTGTTTCAGGACCGGTCCTTGTGACTTTTCCCTTAATGCGCCGAGGGTCGGCGGCAGCAGGCGGGAGCCTGGTTAATAACACGCACAATGGGCCAGCGTGAGTGGAGGCATGATCTGAAACTGCCGCTCTCCTCTTTTGCATTCCGCACTTGAGCAATGTTGACCCCGGATCTAAGTAGAACCCCTGGTTGACCAATAGGGGGGTGTCCAATTCCTTTCAGTGGTTGGATTCAGACCACTTCTTGGAGTTCACCCCCCGAATGGGACGGGTGTCTTCCTCCTGGGCCGGCGCCCGGGGCCCGGCCCAGTGGCCCCGCCAAATTGGGATCTAGAGGATGCCGCTGCACCAGTGAGTCACAATCAAAACCGATCGGTACAAGAATGGTCGACCCAGAACCATGCAAAGAATCAAGAAGGCGGCCGCAGCTATTTATGGCGGGGATCGTATCCCGTGAATGTACAATAGATTGCAGCTTCACTGAAAACCAAGTGACGCTGATTAGATAACAACACATCAATAGTGTCGTATTAAGAGTACGGGTGGGTTTACCCTGGGGTAGATGAAGGGTAGCGAGGGATATATATATATATAGTCCCAGCCGGCAGGTGCCCTTTTACCATTTCTTTTTTGGTTGGGAGGGTTCCCCTACTAAAATAGACTACCTTTATTCGCACCTCTCTACTGGAGGACCTAGGTGTATATCTGCCCTTTCGATTGACACGGTGTTGGCTACACCACTTTCAGACCAGGTTTCGAAACTGCGTGCTGCAATTCCCTTTTTCCCAAGCTTAAGGTCGGGGTTTCCTCCGTTTCCCTGTTTGGAGCCTCCTGTGGCGGTTTCGATGAACCCCACTAGTTTCTTGATCAGCCGGGGGAAATCCGGTGACTGGTTTGGAAGGGGGAATGAATGCTCTTGAAGATCGATTCCTTTAGCTTGGTGCCCCTCAGCTTAGCTTTTCAGTTGGTCAGCGGCTCCAATTATTTCCCCCTTTTTTTGGTGGCTGCCCCACTAAAATGGTCCAAGCCCCAAAAAGGGTTCCCTTTTTTTCCAGGGTCACTGAACAACTGAGTGTTAGCTTTTCAGCTTAGTGGGGATCTGAGGACAGCCGAGTTTAGGCGTGCCCCTTTTGTCTTCCGGCCTCGGGATGGGATGGGAGCCGATCTAGGCCCCCCAGTAGTGACCTTCTTAACCCAACTTTTTTGGTTGGGAGGGTTCCCCTACGAAGATAGACTAGAGAAAAAAAGGTACCCTTATTCCAACCTCTCTACTGGAGGACCTAGTGATGCTTCTCCACTTTCTCTCCGCCCTAGCCCGCTTAAAAGCGGTGCCTCAAGCTGTAAGTCTAATACTGTCGAGAAAATCGGTTCGCAGAATCCGCTTTTGCACCACGAAATGAAACCATGGGAATGAAACCACGGGTTGTTGATAATTGCAGGGGAATCATCGGACATCAGGGTTTCTTACGTGGTGCAAAATGGATTTTGGCCACAGTATGGTCTGAATACAGTTGAACCTGAAACTGAGACAGTGTAACCGATACAGTTTTAGTCTCGATATGGAACATAGTCTAGTATAGTCTTAATATAGTCTACAGAACTGTTCATGCATGAGACTATTGATATAGTTAAATTTGGTCAGCCTTTGTAAATGTCCTGCCCCCGCAAAAAAATGTGAACATCTTTTGGAAACCGTTTAGTATTAAACCATACGGTTTAAGAATAATATTACAAGCAGCATCACAAGTGCCTCATATTTGCAGTTGAGACATTTGTTCAACAAATCTGCAAGCAGTTTTATCCCATACAGATGTTGGTGGTTCCTTGTCTTTCGCGCTAATTGTTTGTGCAAGTTCTGGCAACACTATACAACAAAACAATTGTAGCATGTGCGCCAGTGTTGCAAACAAGCACCATAAGTAGAACAGACATGTCATGATTTTCCGCCAAGTTGAGTCTTGAACATTCAGCATTGTTCTCCCACCATTCTAAACCCAGCCCAACCCACCCCAAACCCACCCTAAGCCAACCCTAACCCGACCCTAACCCCGCCCTAACCCGTTGCTTGTGGCTCAGCACTCACACATATCGCCTGGCGGCAGCATGTGCCAATTTTCCACAGGCTGGAAGTCGTAGCTGGGAGCCTCGGCGTCGCGGCTTCGGAAGAGGTGATGTTGGCGTGTCTCCAAACTGGGAAAATCGAATGGCTCCCAAAACATGGGAGCTTTTTTTTTTTCGGATTCCGACAAGCATGGAACCTGGGCTTCCCCCCAAAAAAAACTCAGGCTGATGTCAAGGGAAAAGAAAGGCAGGGGGAAGCGGTCCGGGTCTAGGATCTTGGTAAGATCCTCGCACTTGGGCATTTCGGTTTTGGTTTGGCTTTGCGAAGGGTGTCCTTCGGTGTCTCCAAAGCTCGGCATGGCCTTCCTGACCTCAAAATCACCTCCGGCACCTCTACCCTACCCGAACCCTTACTTGTTCTTTCAGGGTATGGCAGGGTATAATGTCTACCCTTGTCTAAAAAGGAGGTATTTATGCTGGAAAACCAGGCCTCCCCAAAGAAACCCCTCAAACAAGCGGGTATCTGGGTGTATTTGGAGTAGGAGGAAGTAGATTCCTTCGCATAGGTGGCCTTTTGGAAAAATAGATGGCCCTGGTAAATGGAACAAAACCCATCTAAACCAGTGGAACCCATCTATTTTTAACCAAAGTAACCTAAAAAGGACGCCTTCGTCGAGCGGCAAAGTCTTCGAAGCGGCGCACCACCACGTCCACGGCTTCCCGGCGCTCCACGACACGTTGCGCGAGGTCCTGCGAACGACCGCTTCGAATCGACAGATCCGGAACCCGAAACCCGGTCGTGGATCAGTTGCCGAAAGTGTTTCGTGGGACACTGTGGAGGAACGAAAAAAGTCCTGCACCACTTTGAACCCGTGAGAAACCATTGTGTGTTGGTATTTACAGGGCCATCTCATTCCAGGGTTTCGTAGGTGGTGCGAAATGGATTTCGTCTGTCCACAGTAATTATGACGGGAATCCATCTGAACCCTAAGCTACACTAGGTCCTCCAGTAGAGAGGTTAGAATAAGGGCACCCGATTTTTTTCCTGTAGTCTATTTTAGTAGGGGAACCGAATCTCCCCAAAGAAAGAAACGGGTAAAAGGGCACCAATTGCTGGGGGACCCTCCCCGACGGAACTTCATCGCCCTCAGCTACAAGTCTTCGATGGCGGGGGAGTTCAGAGGAACCTCTCGGTTTTGGCAGGCTGGTTGGCTATCCCCCCTCTTGGTTGACGTTGGGTTTGGGGAGCAAAAAAAATCAAATTTTAGCAGTTAAGTGGATTTGGATTTCAACCACAAAACCACAATAAGCAAAAATGCGAAATGTGTCCCAACGACAACCATGATCTTGCTAAAAATCAGCGCCATGTCCGCGTGGGACTGTCGTTTCTTGAGGGTACCCAGTGTTTTGCGGCGAAAAAAAGGGGAACCAAAAGGAATGCCATCCACTTTGGGACTCCTTGGATGACCAGCCGACTTGGCCAAGTGGGATTTACCGCACAACCCGCCTAAGGGCCTCAACCTGTAGGGGAACCCTCCCCAAAAAAGGGGATTCAAGGGCACTACTGGGGGACCTAGCTGAGTTTTGGGGGGTGGCAAGGACGGTTTTTTTCTCATGTGGAACCAACATGTAGGTTGTCCAGTGTTTGGGGGCGGAGATGAACCTAGGTGGCAAGTCCCCCAAGGGACTTATTAACTGGGACTACGTGACCTGCGACCAACAACCCCCAGGCTTTAGAACAAGGGCACACGATATTTTTTCTCTGGACGTCTATTTTAGTAGGGGAACCCTCCCAAAAAAAGGGGATTCAAAGGCACTACTGGGGGACCTAGCTCAGCTTTGGGGGGTGGAAAAGTGGAAAACCTGGTTTTCTCACGCGGAACCAACTTTCAAAGGGGGTGGCTTCCCATGCAGGTTGGAGCAGGCTGTCTAACCCCTGCTTGGATGACCAGCCAAGCAATTAGGCAAGTCCCACAAGCAGGACTTTCGCGTCCTGTTCGTAGCTGAGCTCTTTGTTGCAAGTGGCCTTGATTGTTTTTTTTTTTGGTTTTCTTTTTTTTTTTTTTTATATATCCCACCACTTGTTGACTCTTGAGGCACCCTGGCACTAGCTCCTCGAACACGTGCTGGCAACATAGGTCACCAAAGTGGCTGGAGCAATGACGTCATTCGGCTGGACTCCCTCTCGGTCGACCAGGCCTTTGTTTCTCGAATGATGCTGTGGATGGTTGCGAAATCCATTTCGCACCACCCAAGACGCCGTGAAAAAACCATAAGGTTTGTTAGTATTTACAGGCAAATCATCAGAAACCAGGGTTTCTTTTGAAACCAGGGTTGAAACCATAACGGTTGTTGGTATTTACAGGCAAATCATCAGAAACCAGGGTTTCTTAGGTGGTGCGAAATGGATTTCGTCCATCCACAGTAGGCCTTCCAAGCTTAAGCAATCGTGCACCCAATTTTTGACAGGCCCGCAACCTGGTCGAATGATCATGTTGCTGGTTGGAGAAACATGCCAAGATGCTGTTTCAGCACTTGTTGCCGTGTCCGCCACACCTTTCTGATGCCCCTCCTTCATGTGGAGCGGTGGGTCAATTTGGAATAGGACCGGCTTCTTTGCCATTGCCCACGGCAGTTGAAGAAATCTTGGTAAAGATCCCTGGTCGCCGCGCTATCCTTGCCTTTGCCAGGCCAAGCATGACAAAGCTTCAGCCGTGCTGCACTTGGCGCTCGGCTGGCACGAGCCTTGACCGCAGCAGTTTGAATAGCAGCTGGTGTTGTCTTGCCTTGCAAGCCTGCAAATGCAGTCAGAAGTGGGCACTGCCGCAGCACCCCTTAGAGCCAGGCTCTGCAATGAGCGAAGAAACCGCATGTAATGAGCTTTTCGTGCCTTTTTCTGTTCGTCAGTTAGGTTCTGTTGAAAGTCAGTGACTTCCTTATCAATAGGCGCTTCATCCTGCGCTTCTTGCATGTCTAAACTCTGACCTGTTTGGTGAGGGAAGGTTGACCCCGTGTGAATCAACCTGTTAGACGATTCTGGGTGTAGGCTGCGCCTGCCCCGTCAATCAACTGCAGGTGCCCGCAGAACGCAGCTGGACGGCGGATTCCCTACCAATTGCAAGTAAATCCCACCAGAAACCACGGTGAAGAACCAGATTTGATCCATGTTCCGCACTTGCAAGAAGTGGGTGTGGCTCAAACAAATGTACCAACATGGCACCTTGCTAAGTGGAACCAAAGCCTAAAACCTGCGTAAGACTAGCTGCCAAATTTTGAGCCACACCCAAGTCGGGAAAGCAAGCCCCCAGCCAAAAGCTAACACAGAACCAGATGATAGCAACAAACCAAAAGCACGTGACAAGGACAATGAAGCCATGATTTGTCATAGCCCCCTAATTGGATGACCAGCCCAGGTGGTTTGCAAGCGAAGCCCAAGCCGAAGAAGTTTTCCAAGAAGGCTCTAGGGACTTATCTCCTGATCCACTCACTAAAGAGGATGGTCCTCCAAGTACCCCACCTGAGTCCGAATCAAAACCGATCGGTACTAAAATAGTCTACCCAGAACCATGTACAGGATTAAGAAGGCGGCCGCAGCTATTTATGGTTGGGATCGTCCCTTACTAACCTTCATCTACCCGGGTTTTGATTGTGGCTCACCTGGCTTTGTGCAAGGCAAGCCCAACTTTCAGCCTGGGCTTTGGCAGCGGTATGCACCACATCCGCTCAGATGGTATGCTTGCCCCACCAAATCACAGGGCTGCATCCATCTCAAGCCGCCCACTGGAAGAAATAGACAAATTTCCAGCAGTCATAGATTCCCTTAAAAACCAACCGGGGAAAATAAACCAGCAAAAGAAACCAACAAAAAAAAGAAGCAACATCTTCTCAAAAACACATGGAAGCAAGTGCTTGGCGTTTTTTTTGTCCATCCACACGGCCCCATCCCCCATCCCGCATATCGGCTCCTCCGGCGTTTGAGGCTTCTCCTCACCGCTTTTCAACAGAACCTCCGGCCGAGGCGCCGAGAAGTGTCTCATCAAAGGAAGCTCAGTCGGAACCTGGGAATCAAACGGATTTTGGGTTTCCTCGGGTTCGGGTGGCCATTTGAAAACCACAAAAAAAGAAAAGAAAAAGAACAAACAGACCCTGGCCATTTGAAAACCAAAAAAAACAGACCCGAATCTTCGCTTTGAACCCAGCCAACGCCTTACTCCATTCGCCAAGTTCGCAACTGGGGATCGCCACTTGGGTTCTAACCCACCAGGCTTCATCCCAGTGAACGGGGGCCCAAAATTTTTAACCCCGGATTAATAAGCTACTGGTTGATGAATCGGGGGGTGTCCCCTTTTAGTGGGGGATTCATCACTTTTGGAGGGAACACCTCCCCAATAATGGGAACCGCTTATTAATCCTGGTGGGCCCAAAATGTTAAACCCCGGATCTAAGTAGAACCCCGGATTGATCTTCTTTGGGGGTGTGGCCCCTTTTAGCGGTTGGATTCAGACCACTTCTGGAGGGAACACCCCCCTAATGGGACGGGTTCTACTTAGATCCTGGGTCTACATGATATGATCAAAGGAAGCTCAGTCGGAACTTCCAGCGGTGCTGGAACTAATTGAGCTGTGTTTCTCTGATGAACAGGGTCGCATGCGAAGACATCTGCAAAAAAAGTGGAACAATCGCGAGAACTGGAGTAACGAGTAGAAGTTATGGCCCTGTGCGTGAGTTTGGCTCGTCTTTACATGTGCGCAGCGTACCTCCTCGCGGTTTGGAATGGGCTCGGATACCCATGTTGGAGACACCCAATTTTTTACCAACCACCGCCTTCCATTTGCTCAAGGTCCCGGGTCCCTTTAAAACCAACAAGGGAAAACAACAAATATTCTTAAGCAAATGGAAGTTGCCATGATTTTTGTTCAAAGAGTTTCAGCCAGGGGATGGCAATACACACCAACGAGAGCCAGGGGTTTCCGCCAGTGCCAGGGTTTCTGAGCCGGTTCTGAAAACATCCTCAGAATGGTATGCAAAAGGGGGTTAGGGCCCCCCACAAGTGGATTTTGTCCATCCACTACGTGGTTGTCAGGGCCCCCCCAAGAAACAGTTTCACACCCCACCCCAAAAGGAACCCTAGTGGGGTGAATCCACGAGTATTTGGGGGTCAGCACACCGAAGTGCGCAGGGGCTTCACCGATTCATGCGTAGCACGGCTACGCGCACTGTGGCAAACGGAAACACGAACCAAAACCCGCATGAAAAAGATTGACCCATGCCCAAGCCAGCTGGGAAGTTCAACATACTACTTTGCCTAGGTCCTCGAGTAGAGAGGTTCGCATAAGGGTACCAACCTTTTTCTGCAGTCTATTTTAGTAGGGGAACCCTCCCAACCAAAAACGGGGTAAAGAAGGGCACCCAGCTGGGGGACCTAGTTGCGATATGTTGGCCTGATGTCTCAAAAAATGAGCTTGCTGATGAGTACCTGGTGCCCTGTGACTCGACGCCGACTTGCAGCTTGTCCAAAAGGGCGAGGTGCTGCACCCGCGAACGAACCTCAAATTATTCATGCTTTAGGAGACCCCCAAAAAAGGGGGTTTCGCTTTAAAACCACAAACAAAGGAGTCATGTTGGCCCCGGATTCATCAACCCCAGTTTATTCATAGGGGGGGGTCCTTGAATTTAGTGGGGGTTCAGACCACTTTTGGAGGGGCCGGCACCCCCATATTAATGAACTGAGGTTGATTGATCTGGGGTCAACATTAACCCACGTACACCCATTTGGTCCCTCTTGCCCCAAGCTCTCTGAGCCCGGCGCTAGGTGGATGCGATGCGAACCTGCGTATCAATGCCACGTGCACGGCGCCCTCCGAAAGATTCTCTCATCCGAGCATCAAACGATTCGCAACTCACTTCCACGGGCGGGCACAAAAAAACAACGTGATTGCCCACCAAAGTTGTATCTCTCTTGTTTTGATTCTATTGTGTTTCTTCTGAGGGGGAGCGGAGAGGTCCAGGGAAGAAGAGGTCAAGGAAATTCAGAAGCCCCCCCCAGCCCAGGTGTCAACTTTGGAACGCGCCTTCCGGCACGCCTTTCCACACGTAGGGCGCAGAAGGCACCTGGCCACGAGGGACCTCCACGCACAGATGGGACCCGCCCAAGGACCACCGGTGCCTAAAAAAGAAAACGAGTCAGCAACCCATGGCTGGACCAAAAGCAAACCTGTTTTTGTTTGGCGGAAGCCGAGATCTCTTCCATGCCTGGCAGCCAGATGTTGTTTAATTACTGACAAAACCGCCTCGGTCCCGGAAAACCTGATCGTTTTCTCTCCATCACGCGACATCAATGCGGCGACCCGGCCTCGTCCAGGACGTTCATGGTACCAGAGATGCCCTTGCCCTGCCGGAACGATGGGAACACAGGCTACCCAGGAAACTGCCCTGAGTCGCACAATCACAGCCGATCAGTACTGTGGATGAACGAAATCCTGCACCAATACAACGAACAATGGTTTCCAATGGTTTCAAAGTGGTGCGAAATGGATTTCGTCCATCCACAGTATGAAACAAGTCTGCCCAAATCCATGTGAGGAAAAATAAAAGCGGAATGCCGAGCCTTTTTCATCTGCCCAGGTCTTGATTGTGGCTCGCCTGTTGGTCCAAAACGCCCCCTCATTTGTGTCTCGAAAGTGGAAGGGCTGATACAGTGGAGAATCTGTCATTCAAACCTTCCACTCTTGGGGCTTGTGGCTTAAAGTCAGAAGTCAGAAACTGGCATTGGTGGTTTCCCTCCAGCCCGCCACTTGGGGATAAACTTTCATCATAAATTCATGAGGCCAGCTGCGGCCGCTGAAGGGCCCGTTCCACGGCTTTCGGCCCAAAAGATCTTCCGCCCATCCCAGACCCGTTGACGCCCGTCGATGGAACAAAGAGTTTTCTCCCGCTCCGGGAGGACCACAGTCCAGCAATTTGCGGGGTTAAATCTAAGGGTACCTTCCAACCATTCTTTCCAGGGATCCGAATCTTTCTAGAAAACCTCCGGAAACACACAACAAACGGCCAGATTTTGGAAAGAACGATGGTGGAAAAGAATGGGGAATCAACCCCAGATTAAAGGGAAATCCAGCCTGAGTTTGACGCCAGAAACGGTCAAAGTACTGGTTGTCACAGGTGACCTTCTGGAAAAATGGATGGGTTCCCCTCCCTGGTTGTTTGCGAACAAACCGATAAAGAGGACACCTATGATTGGATCTCCATTGTTTGTGGCTTGGATATAGGTGTGGCTGCTTGTTAGTTCCATCTGTTTCCAACCAAACTAACCTGTCACAGGTCCGGCCATACTCAATGGGTGGTAAACCAAGAAACAAGGAGCGCATATGTATATATATATATACATATATGTGTATCCACAATCCTTGGTTGCTGTGAACCCCTCTTCACAAGGTTTTAACTTTTTGTGAGTTCAAAGGAAAACCCTTGATTTTCCAAAAAGCTAAGGTCTAAATCAAAAGGGTCAGGGGTTGGAGTCGGGGGGGAGCTTAGTCCAGGCGTTCTTCAACAGCTTGGGGAGACAGCCTTCACCTAGCTGACAAACATGGTAACATGGGGGTGCACGAGCCCCTTCCAAAAACGAAATGAGTTCTTCCAGGAAAAAAACACGCCATGTGCGTTGCCGAGGTGACGTGTCCTGCCTTCTTTTTTCAAATCTTTCCGGCCTCGATCCAGAAGGCGCAGGGCCCCTGCAGTGAGCCTGGCGATCCCAAGCTTCTTTTTCTGGGAAACGTGTGTGCGCCAATAAGTTGTTCACTTCTTTCAGGGGCAATGGCCACGGAGGCGGGTACGTGAAATACATGAAGTTACCCCCTCAATCCAATTTTTGATGTGTGTTGAACCTGGTCTTCCACACCTAGGTCCTCCAGTAGAGAGGTTAGCATAAGGGTACCCTTTTTCTGCAGTCCATTTTAGTAGGGGAACCCTTCCCCAAAAAATTGTAAAAGGGCACTTCTGCGGGACCTAGACACTGAAAAGCCCATGTTCTAGTCTCGGGTTGACAGCATTCTGGGTAACTCCGAACCACCAAACTTGCCGACGCAGAAAATGCCCACAACTGTGGACCGGTAGGGACAGGGCTGCTTTTCATGCTTCAAGGGCAACTTCCAGCCACCATTTTTGCGGGAGCACTTCCAACCACTCCAAATCCATGGATCCGGGACTTCCTAAATAGAGTTAACCCGCTCATACAATTGAAGCCCCCATTACCTCCCACAAATCTGGGCCAAACAACGTCACTTGTTGCTCCTGTGGTTGAAAGGGAAACTGGAGGACAATCCTCACACCACTCATCATTTTCTTAGATTCAGTCTTCATATGTGGTCCACCTTAATATACAAAACAGGTGTTCCCCCCTGGCTACACCAAGAATCATATTCTGAGATTTGGTCTTCGTATTTCATCGACCAAAAGACAAGATACAGGGACTGACCCCGGTGCTGGGCCCCTTACGGTCCCTGAGATCTGGCCGCAGAAGCAGGCTTTCAAGGCTATTAGGTAGAAACCCGGTGAAGCGGCTGGGTTATGTGATTTCTTTTTCAAAGGAACCGGAAACCCCCAAACATCGTGGGTGATCCATTTGGTTTCTGTTCAAACCGGCCCAAAAGATCAGCTTCCCACCATTGGTGGCGTGGATTGTTGGTTTGGTGGTTGGGGGGCGGTTTCCTTCCCATATACCCTCTGAAAAAACCAAAGCTCAATGAGAACAGAAATCTCATGTGGACCAAAAGGGGAAAAGCTTGCTTGATTTTGATTTTCAGTACGAATACAAACTGTGAGAACATGGCCTATGAATCCTTTAGGTCTGAGAAATATTCAGCTAGAGCTGTCAGAAAAGTTACCACAGGGACAGCTGGCTTGTGGCAGCCAAGCGTTCATAGCCACGTTGCTGTTTGATCCTTCGGGAGGTTCAATTCAAACCCAAACCACCAATCCAAACTACCAACTAAGGGTTACCTGGACGCTTGGTATGGGCGTGCACCACAAAAACGTGTCGTCTCGTCTTGGTGTTTTGTGTTTGTTTTGTTTTGTGTTGGGGGGGGAGCAGCTTTAAAAAAATAGAAGTAGACACGGACCCGGAGGAAACAAAAAAACACGTCCGACACCTCCTTAAGGCACCCGGATCCGACAGCCGCCCGCTCCTTGGAAGCTGACGCTGACCTCCGCAGAGACGCCGGAGAGCGGGATGTAGGCGCCTCGCGCGGCGCGAGCCGCGAGGAGGCGAAGCTCCCCACATCTTTTGGTGGATGGCCATGGGTCAAAACCCAAATCGTACCCCCAGCTCTAGGGGTACCTTCCATTTCCATTCTTTCCAGGGAGTTTTCTTTTCAGGAAACCATCAAATCCCAGGAGAAACGGCTGGTTGTTGAGAACGATGGTTGAAAAGCATGGGGAATCAACCCCTAGACCAGTGAACATCCCAATCCCCACCAAAATAGACTAAAACGGGCGGTGCACCTATCCCAAATGGTACCATTGGTTTTGACCATGACCAGATGGGTGCCTTGCAACCTTGGTATGGTTGCAACAAACCATCGCACTGTCCTTGCAGCCCCCGCCTAAAAACAACAGAAGCCAAAAAACTAAAAACTTGCCAAGAACTGTAAAGATGCGGGTCTGGCTCTGCCTTTTTTTGCGGGGCCCCTTTTTTTGGGATGGTTGTAAAGGAAAACCAAAGGAAAACCCACCCATGTTTGGCCCCAAAAAAAAACATAACCATATTCTGCGAGTCTGGCTTTCAGTTGTCCAAGGGCAACCAAAAGGAAAACCACTGCTTTGGGCCCCCCAATTTTAAGACTGCCTATCTGTATCTGAGCTGCATTTGAACCGCATCCGAACCGAACTTGGATGTCCAGTCTTGAAAATAAGTGGCTCGTTCGTGTTCATGATGAACTTCAGCGGCCATGGGATGCTTGTGAAGGATCGGCGCATCCCTCCATCGATGGTCCGGAACTCGAATGACTCGTTTGCACTCATGTTCAGAATGAACTGCGGCTTGAACTGGATCGGGTCCCGGTAGAGGCCCCTGGCCTCGATGAATGCAGTCTGATCCCGCAAATCCTTCAGCATACCGGAGCGGAGCTTGACGCCTGCCTCGACCTCGTTCACGAAGAGAGATCGTCTACCCTTGAGCTGCAAGATGTTCAGCGAGCAGCCAGTGGGGTCTCCAAAGCTAGTGAAGGTCTCTGGCTTGGGCTCGTAGTGGTTAACTCCGGGCAGGACTCGCCCTGCAGGTTGTGTGTGTCCACAATTAAATCCCAGGGACGTACTGGGCCCAATTGTGCCCAGCATCACCATTTTTCCTTTGCAAAAGGTTCCCTGGACAAACCAGCAAAACATGGGCGCCGTTGCATTGTTTCCAGTTTGGTGGCTGTGCTTCCAAAGGTGATATGTGCCATGGGCAATACTCCTGTGGTCCATGAGCATGAATCCTTGGTTGTCCATGTTCGGCGTTGCGGGGTTGATGACATCGCCACCAACCCACAGTAAAGGGCTCTTTTGAACAAAACACATACTCATGGGCATGAATCTAACGGCAAAATGAGCCATACTCAAAGCCTGGTATGTTGATTTGGCCAACCCAGAACCATTTTTCCAGAATTACGCAACCGGACTTTCGCGCCCGTTGCTGGTTGGGACTATCCCTTTCTAACCTTCCACTCTCGAAGTGGCTCAAATGGCAAAGCGTCTAAGGCGTTCCATGACTCGACTGAGACGGGTCAAAACCCTGGAAACTCCTGGTGAACATCAAAATAGGTGGCTTAAATGGATCTTCCACCCCAAAATGGCTCGCCATTATGCAACCCATGGCCAGATCTCTAGGGTTCCCGGCCCGGCTTGGGCGACAAGATCATCCGGCCCTCTTCCGGCGCCGGAGCTGCGCCGGTGCCCACCACCGCCATGGCGGATGCCAGTCGAAGACGTCAATCCGCGCGAGTCGGCAGCTTTCCACGGGACCCAGTTTTCGGTTGGAGATACAACCGCCAAGGCGGTGGAATCCAGGGCACCCCTTTTTTGAGGGGGCTGGGGGAAAGGTGCTAAAATATGTGTTTGGAAGGGATCAATTTTTAGCCTTAGGCCCTCATCCAAGGATAAGGTACCAAAAAAACCAGGGGCTGGGGTTCTCCAATGTTCAAATTTGGCCCAAAGATGCGAAACTGGATCACCCCCAAGCCGAAGGAGACCTTTTCAGCTTGTGGCTCGACCGGGTGGCTCGGGGGGAAACAAAAAGGACCCGGCAGCCAGCCCCTGAGAACTCAAAGAAAGACTCCCCTGGCTGGGGGGTTCGGAGAAGAAAACATCGGGGCCCTCCAAAATCTTGGTTGCTAAAAGTGAATAACTTTTAGCGGTTTACTGGAAAACCCATCAGATGGCAAAAAGTTGTTCAGTCCTAACATCCAAGCAAGATGCAACAAAGAAATGGTGCTCTTTTTCGGGATTTTCGGGTTCACCCCCAAAGACTCAAAAAAAAGATCACGGCTGGGGATTCAACAATTCGGCGGGGCGGTGGTCGTTCTGGTTCCCTCCCACACAAAAAAAAAGCAACCCTTCACAAAGAGTAGCCTCCAAAAAGGGAGACACGTTGCAAACGAGCGGTTCTACATGCTGCAGACCTTTGTCGGTGAGGTGTTGGAAAGCTGGATGTGTCCAGTTGCCAGTCTTGGCTTTCAGAAGCTGAAGACTGCGAGGCAGTTGATGCCCAGGCCGATCCTCATGCTGCGCGGCCTTTATCGCGTTTTGAGGCGAGACCTTTCGTGTTGCAGGTTTTAAACATGGTTGGGCAACTCTACACAACCAGACCCCTGTCCACGGTGCCATGGCCAGGGTACTTTCTTGTGAGGTTCCATGTTTGTGGAAGGGTGGGTATATTCCGATTGGCCAAAAAAGCCATCTCTTCAGCCCTGTCGCCCAACCCCGGTGGCAAAACTCGGCTTCCCCTCGGTTTGAATCGGTGGTTTGGAGGTGCTCCGGGGGCAGCTCCTCATGTGGATGGTTGCGAAATTCATTTCGCATCATCTAAGAAACCCTGGAATGAGGTGCGAAATGGTTTTCGCAAACATCCACAGTTGGGCGTCACGTCCCCGAGCCAAAAATCCACACCACCGAAGGGTTACCCAGACCCGTTTGACTCCCGCGGCGCACTTTTCTTGCTCGCGCGCCGCGGCGCGATCCAACCCATGTGCCTCGCCTGAGCCGAAATCACGGTGCCCCCCCCAAACGCTGGCTGGTTCTGAGTTCGCCGGGAATCAACCCTCCAACTGCTGGCTTCCTTAGGGGACGGTTCATTTCAGGGGTACAGTTCATTTCAAGCGCATTTTCAGGGGTTGCGATGGAGGTTAGAGACCACCATCCACGCACACACTGCCTTATTTGGTGACATATAAGTATCATATAAGCATCCATGCCTTCGAAGCTGCACATGCCTGAAAATGCCCAAAAGCAATCCCAAAACCCATCAAAACGACTCCCTCCAATGCTTCAAGGACTGCAGGACCGCCCCAGTCAGGCTCCATGATAATTGCTGCAAGGTTGTAAAGGTATGTATGCATGCATGCATGCATGCATTTAGGTAGGTAGGTAGGTAGGTAGGTATGTATGTATGTTGTATGCTGTCTGTCTGTCTGTCTGTCTGTCTGTCTGTCTGTCTGTCTGTCTTCCTGCCTGCCTGCCTGTCTGTCTGTCTGTCTGTCTCTGCCTGCCTGTCTGCCTGCCTGCCTGCCTGCCTGTCTGTCTGTCTGTCTGTCTGTCTGTCTGTCTGTCTCTGTCTGTCTGTCTGTCTGTCTGCCTGCCTGCCTGTCTGTCGGTCTGTCTGTCGGTCTGTCTGTCTGTCTGTCTGTCTGTCTGTCTGTCCGTCCTTCGAGTCTGCACACTTGGGGACCAAAGTGATCCGTTCAAAGCACGCAGATTCATATTGGAACCCGAAAAAATGGACCTGAACCTTCGACCCTTAAATTTCCCTTTCACTGGGCTACTGGCCCAAAGCTCTTGAACTCTGGAATGTGAACTCCCGGAAACTCACCTGGGCGACCTCCAAAAAGCGCCTGCCAGGCCTTCGCCTCCGACCCGGGGCTCGGACCTTTGAAGGGCACGAGGCGGTCGAAGTGCCCGAGGTCGCCCTGGTACCTGCCCCGCTTTTCACGACCAAAAGCCGGCGGCGCCGGGGGAGATAAACGAAAAACAACTTGCAGCCAACCCCATACTGTGGATGGTTGCGAAATCCTCATTTCGCACCACTAAGTAGACCTGGAATGATGCTTCCCCTATAAATACCAGCAAACAATGGTTTCAACCCTGGATTCAAAGTAGTGCAGGATTTTGTCCATCCACAGTATTGCATAGGTGGCTTTTTGGTAACATAGATAGGTTTCCCTGGAAAGTGGAATGATATGGCAAGGATTTTTCGTGGGGAACCCCTTAAAACACACGCTTGGTGTCCCTAAGTCAAAATTCGTACCCATGTACATAGGTGCCCTTTTGGCTAGACAAACATGGGTTTCCCTGGCTTTATGGAATGAAACCCAGCTGAACCAGTGGAACCCATCTATGTCTAGCCAAACTAACCCAAAAAGGACACCTATGCCCGAATACCCCCGTGTGCACTCCAAAAAACCCAGGGTTTTATTAAGGGATACATCCAAAAACCACCCTGCCTTGCAAGCCGAAATCCGCTTTCCGATTGCCAAACGTATCCGTCAACGACCATTTGGCGCGCCCTTACCCCAGAAAAGGAGGCCAGTAGGGTGAGGATTCCCGGGCCCCTGATGAGTTTATCCTCCGGAAACATGGATGGTGGGTTCCATGTTGGTGGTTGAATCACAAGACCAGACAGAGGAGCTTTACTTCGCACTGAAGACGCCTCTTGGCCTTTAACCAGGTCCTCCAGTAGAGAGGTTCGAACAAGGGTACCGACTTTTAGTTGAGGAACATGGCTTTGCCACAGTCAAAGGCCCCACATCACTGAAGCTGAACGAGGCAAGACGGCCTGAAAGGCGCCTTTCTGGTTCTGCGGCATGCCGAAGCACGCCAAAACCGCCGTTCATTTCAAGTTCCAAGCTTCGCATGAAGGGTTTCCCTTTGTTTCGGTCGTTTTAAAGGGAAACCAAAGGAAAAAACTGTTGCTCGCCATTTTGGGGGGTCCAACCTTGGAGCAAGACACTCGCTGGCTGAGTGGACTGGCCAAAACAAGTCTGATTTTTGTCTTGACCGCACTACAATGGGGCCCCAAACCCAAACAGCGACTAAAGTCCAACTCGGAAAGGGAGGTGTGAAGTATTCGGACACCCAAAACCACACCAACCAACAAAAACAAAACAAAAACGGTGTTTAAATTCGGAAACCCAACACACCACACCCACTTTAAAACATCCCTCAAAAACCACTGGGGGGGTCGAGCGGGTGGCTGACCACCGCTCGGCACGCAACACGACTCCCACCTAGGTCCTCCAGTAGAGAGGTGAGAACAAGGGTACCAACCTTTTCTGTCGTCTATTTTAGTAGGTTGGAACCCTCCCAACCAAAAAAGTTGGGTTAAGAAGGGCACCAATTGCTGGAGTGAAACGGGCCCACTTTGCTTAACCCAGCTCTGTGCTCCAAAAATACCACTGTTTGCTTCTGGTGCCCACAAATCGACCGCCCAAAAAGGTCGCTATCCCAGCTTCTGCCCCCACCAAAAAACTTCTTTAGATTCTAGCCCATACTTCGGAACAAAAAAAAAAAAAAAACGTGTAGAATGATATACCCTCGGCCCCACAACTCGGCGCCCAAAAAGGTCGAACAAAAATCCCTCGGCCCGGGGGCGCCAGAGATCCACCTCGCGGCCGCCGAAGCGGGCGGTGTGCAGCAGCGCGAGGCTCCGCTGGGCATCTGGCGAGAGTCGGACGCCCGGGAGGTGGAAACCAGCCTGGAAAAGGTGTATAGCTGTTCATGCGTTTTAAGGGTTTAAAGGGAGCAGAATCTTTTGTTGAAAAGTGATCCATCCAAAAGGAAACCTTTGAACCAATGGTTGGTTGGTTGGTTGGTTGGTTGGTTGGTTGGTTGGTTGGTTGGTTGGTTGGTTGGTTGGTTGGTTGGTTGGTTGGTTGGTTGGTTGGTTGCTTGCTTGCTTGCTTGCTTGCTTGCTTGCTTGCTTGCTTGGTTGCTTGCTTGGTTGGTTGGTTGCTTGCTTGCTTGCTTGCTTGGTTGGTTGGTTGGTTGGTTGAAACTATTTTTCAAAAGGGACAGCTTTTCATGCGTCTTGAGGAGTGAAGACAAAATAAGCGACCCGCCCGGCATGGGGAGGGAAGCCGCCCGAAAAAGGATCAATCCACAAGCAGAATATATTTGTGAAAAGGAAATATTTCCCGCGTTTTGAGGTTGAAAGGAAAGATAACCGACAAGCCGGCACGGGGGGGAAGCGCTAAATCCCTATTTCGAGACCATACCCATGTTGGAAAAAACCTGCACCAGTTGGGCAGCTTTGGCGCAAGATTGTCATAGTCGGCAACTTGTCAAAGGAACAAGCCTTCGATCATATACTGATGCAGAGCAGAATTGCAAGGAGCGACATCGCATAGGGACTGCTATACGAACTGGGCTGTTCAAAATGGGTCGAGATCTCGGAAATCACTGCCCATCTGTTTCTGGACCTTCCATTGCGAGCAGAACCCACAATTTGTGCACAATTCTTCAATTTCTGCCCGAGCAACGAAAAAGTGCCCAAGGTTTCTATGTTCAAATGAGAACTTTTCAAATTTGCGCTCGTTTACAGGGTTTTGCACTCGCTTTGCGGGCCGTTGCGGGCGTTTTTGTACATAGTTTCTGCTCGAGTAGGTCGTATCAGGACCTGACAGCCCGCATGCCTCCAAAAACTGCTCGAGGTACAAAAAAGAGGACAAGCCAGGAAAAAAGGTTACGATTTCCAAAAGCCTGCCGATTGACAAGGGAGGCAGAAATTTCAGGCACTTTGGAAGGTCCAGGTCAGAATGATATCAGGTCAGAATGATATGTATATATATGTATGCTGCCCCCCCCCCTTGAAATACTCAGGTTTTTGGGCAGAACTGAGGTTTTTGGCCAGACTGGGGGTGACAAATGCCTTGAGACTCTAAAATGAACTGGACACTCAACTCCATGCAAATTCTAACCAAGAAGAAGTTAAGCTCAACGTTGATTAGGAGTTGTGGGTTGTATGACCATCACATTGGCGTGCGCGAAGTATTGGAGTATGCAAAGTGCAATTTGGCAGCTCCAGCTCAAAAAGACACAACTGTTCAGTACAGGAGTAGTGCGCGAAGTATGTTTTGGCAGCTTCAACGCGCCTGTAGCAGCCCTATTATTTGGTGTTTAATATTTTTGCTTGGCAGCGAGATTCAACAAAACATCAACTCGGGGAAAAGGAACTCATTCCTAATTCATGTCCTTGCGCAGTTGTATTTACATGTTAACTCGAGTATTGTGCATAATTCCCGACATGCTAGTTCAATCTATTTGAAACATATGTTGCAAAGCAACTATCCCACGTGTGTGTGTGTGTGTGTTACTTGTCTAAGTTGGTTTCACCATCGCCAATAACCGCTATTGAAATTCAAGTAAGGGAATAATATCCAGTTAAAAAAAACTTTCGAGTTCAAACCAAATTCAAGTTTACTTGTTTGCAGTTTCTTGTGCAGTTCAAAAATCAACTGGAGAAGATAGCTATTGTCATGGCCAAATGAATTTGGAATCAAACTCAATTTTGAAAGGGTTATTGTCCTTATCGAACTCCATGTGGTTTGAACCAAGCAAGAACTGAGCCAAGCCAATGACAGGAACGTGTTTTCAATCATAGCTCCCGTTCTTTGCATAAATGCTCTAAAACGCAGTGTTTTTCAGCATTTGCTCAGATCGTGTTGCCCTGGATCGAACATCGAATATACAAGATTCCACAAACATATGTTTGGAATATACTCAATCCTGGTCCCCCAAAAACTTGACAGTTTGTTCTAGACTCACTAAGGTTTCGCCCCCTGCATTGAAGATTGAAGATCTACCAGATTTTCTTTTGGAGAATCTTCCATCCTGGCCAGCCCTCAAGTCCACAAAAAGACTGTAAAGGTGTCAGCAACATTTTTCCCCCTTGCCAATTGCAAGCATGTGCAAGTGCACACCCATATTTTGATTCTGACAGCGTGCACTCCCGGTCTGCCTTTTGGATTCTTCAAATCTGCACAGGATCTGGATGGGAGATTGAAGATTCTGTGACAACTCTTTCTGAAATCCTCCAAATATGTACTTAGAGTAGTCCAGGATGTGCTAGCACGTGCCACGTGCTAGCACATGCTGGACTGAAGATTGAAGATTGGAGATTCTCAGACCACTTGTTCTGGAAATCTTCAATCCATCCTGAGGACAAACTGGTATGTGCTAGCACGTGCTAGCACATCCTGGATTGAAGATTGAAGATTGAAGAATCCCAGAGAGAGTTGTCAGAGAATCTTCAATCTTCAATCTTCAATCCAGGATGTGCTAGCACGTGCTAGCACATATCAGTTTTCTCCTAAGGACGGATTGAAGATTTCCAGAACAAGTGGTCTGAGAGTCTTCAATCTTCAATCTTCAATCCAGGATGTGCTAGCACGTGCTAGCACATCCTGGATTGCACTAAGTACCGATGCTGGAATTTAAGTCGAAAAAGGAGTGCATGTTTTAGAGCCTCATTTTAGAAGCTGGAACGTGTGTGTTGCATGCATTTTTACAGCCAAAATGTCAATTTCTGGCCAAAAACCTGAGTATTCCAGGGGGGGGGGGTACCATATATATATATATATCATGCTAGACAACCCAGCCTGACACGGAAACTGAGGGAAGAAAACTCTGGTGTTCTTGATGCGTGTGGCTCTCCCTCAACTTGGCAGCGGTCCACTGCGCGCCCTCCGAAGCGATAACTTTCACATTGAGTCCCGAACTCGATATGAAACTCTTGGCATGTGGCCGTGGGTCAAAACCAATGGTACCATTTTGGGGTAGGTGCACCGCCCAGTTCAGTCTAGTTTAGTGAAAATGGGGATGTTCGCTGGGGTACGGGATTTTGACCCATGGCCATGTGCCCTTGGTACCCTAGACTTATGAAATCCCATTTGGGCGGTAGGTATTTGGGGGGTGGGTAGTTGAGAGCCAGTTTCGGGTTCCTTACGGTTCCCGAAACGGGTTCCCGAAACGGCTTCCTTAATCTTTCCTTGGACCACGCTCCCGGGACTCCGACCCCCCCCCCACCTCCATAGTAGAAGGGGCGACAATTGGCACTTGAATGGAGACCAAAGGATTGTTGAAAATCTTCACCAACGTTCTAGGGTTTGGCCATCTGGGTATGGCTCAAAAAACTGGTACCAAAATGGGTTGCCCTGGGAAGTGGAAGCATGGACCAAAACCTGCGGTTTGCCCCAGCTCTTGAATTTTGAGCCACAGCCATCTTTCAGAGGCTTGGTGGTTAGACCAAAGGATTGGTTGATCAGGGCCATCTTTCAGAGGCTGGTTGCAACCGGCAACCCGAATGAGGCTCGATGTCCGGTGTCTCTCTGTTCAAGCCGAAGATGTGGCTTCTTGTCTTCTACCTCAGCTTTTGCCCCAACCAACAACCTCTTTAGATTCTAGCCCCATACTTCGTGAACCAACAAAAAAAAGATGTAAGAATGATATACTTCCATTTGCTTAAGCCCCCGGGAAAAAATAAATACTTCCAGTAGTGATAGATTCCCATTAAAGCCAACAAGGGAAAATAACAATATATTCTTAAGCAACTGGAAGTATATCAGTTTGGGTGATCGACGGCTCCCTCTCCTATCGCAAAAAGGAGACTTGGGCCCTCGGCAAACACAAGGCCTGCCAATTTCTACTCGGATCTTCGATTCGCCAAGTTAGTAGCTAGCCACCCGGGGTATAACCTAATGAGTGTGTTGGGCCGGTCGTACCTAGGTTATAACACAGGTTACTGACCACTTACTAACTTGGGCGAACACCCAAGTACCAACCAAGTCCTACCAACTTCCGACCAGCGTTCGGCCCTCCTACCAACTTTCTACGCTTTTGGTTTAGTCTTTTGCTCTTCAGCTCCCTCGCAAACAACGCGATCAAACACACACACACACACACACCAAAAAAAAAGAAGAAGAAGGAGGAAGAAAAAAAACATGAGCCGCAACAGCCAACTTGGCCCTTCATCGAAAAACAAACGCAAATCATCGCAAGGGGACGGAACATGGAGAAAAAAGGCTAACAGCGCCCAAAACCCATTGACTTTGCCGGCTCCTGCGGCCGGACCCCTTTCGATGTTCGACCTGTGGTTTTCATTGAAACCCATTGCTTTTTTGGGGCCCCAGAGGCTCCTGGAGCTTTCAATGGACCCGACCCCTCCATTAGACACCCGAGGTGGTTGGGGGGTCTCAAAACCAGGTTGTTTAAAGGCCCTAAATCCTCTGGGGGGATACATGTTCAAACCCTGGTTGTCCAAGGTAAATGCCTCTTGGATCGACCGTGAAGGAGCTTTTCCTGATCTCAATGATCCTTGTTGCTATCAACCTGGGCGAGATCTCTTCCTACAACACACACGACTTTTCTTGGGCACACGGTCGTAGTCCCTTAAGTCAGGTATTGGCGTCATACCCGTGAGGGAATGACCCTCACAAACCATACCCTGGGTTCATTCCCACATTCCCTACCTATCGCACCATCTACATCAGACCCCCAGCTCCAGATGCCGTTTTGAACTTTTACGTTCCCCTATTTGGTCCATCCACAGTATGCTAACGGATTTTGCAACCAGCCACCGTATCATACCCCATACCCAGAGCTTTGTCACAGGCCCCACCTTCAGCCCACACCCGCACCGTCAGGCCGGCCACCTGTCCAGGAAAGCAGAGGGGCCGCGTTTCTCTTGCGATTGTTTTAGGTTCTTGTCTGTTTTCTCAATTGGGGGGAGGGGGGGGAGGTCTGGAGAAATCATAGAAAATGATGGGTCTGGAGTCTGGCCAAATCGTGGGAACATACATTCTCCCCAGGGATCCTTCTTTCTACAAAACCGCCGGAACCCCAAGGAATAACAAATCCGGCTTTCGGAAAAGTAGGGAATGAGTTGGAATGAACCCAGGCTTCGGTCCCCATAAAGCAAACCACGTGTTCCTTGGGGCCATGTCATTTCTCGCTCCCTCTCTCGCACCGATCGCATGGTTGCCAATTCCGCCGAGCCCATTCCGCCGAAGAAGCGACCTTCGCGATGGCGTCCAGGAGCCCCCCGCCCCGGTCGCCTCCGAGCGGAAGGCCGCGCCGGAAGGCGAGAAGAAACCCGGGAGAAGCGCCGAATACCGGCGCTTTTCTGTGCTTTTGGCGTGTGTGTTGCTCCAAAGCTAGACGACACCAAGCGTTTTGAGCTGGTATATGTGGAGACACATGATTGTTCACGGTAAATACCTCTTTTTTTTGAGTCAGGTTGAAGGTATAGTTTGAAGCCTGACTTTTTAGCCGGGGGTTGACATCAATATGAGGCATTGTGGAGATCAGGTTCAATAAACAAACCCTTCCACATTTTTTCTGCTGGGCATGTGGCACTTTTCGGGACCTGGTCCTCCTAATTTCCCAAACAGGGAGTCTGATTCATCAAGCAAACCCGACAACCAGCTCCAAACCCACGCAGTCCTGATTCTTGTGGGACATTAAGGGTGTTCCCTCATGTCCCTCCCAAACGGCTCGTAACCCAAAGTTTCAGTGTTTTACAAGGAAACAAGTAGGGCTTGAATGAGCGTGTCTTGCTATTAAGGGTGGCTTTTCTTTTGGCTAGCATTCCGTACCTCGGAAAGAAAAAACGGTAGCACAAAAGAAATTGGTGTTCATTGAAAAATACCCCCTAAAGCAACCTCTCTTGGACCCAGCGCCTTTCTTTTGGAGCGGGACTGAAAAAAAACACACGGGAGAAAAAAACAACAAAAAAAACAAAAAACGGATTTCCAAACCACCCCACCCCTTCCCCTCCCCCCCCCTCCGCACCCCTTCCCCCCCACCCCTCTCCCCCTCCCCCGCACCCCTTTCCCCCCCCCCCACCCCCCACCCCTTCCCCCACCCCCCCACCCCCGGCCCCCCGCCCCTCCGCCCCCCCGCCCCGAACCACCCCAGCCCTTTCGCCCCCCCCCCCCCCCCCCCCCCACTAAAAAAAAAAAAAAACGAAGCCCCCCACCCCAAAAAAAAACAAAACTAAAAACGACCCCCCACCCCCCCCCCCCACCCAAAAAAAAAGCGCGAAGCCGCCTCCGCCGGGCCGCAGGAAGGAGAGCCAGAAGCTGAAGTCAGAGCCCACCCAAGACACGTACCTACTGTGGACGGAAACCCTGGAATGATGATTCACCCCGCTTTTTTATGGTTTAAAGGGAAACCACGGGGAACCCCATCATTCTGGAGGGTCCCCCTACTGTGCACGGACGAAATCCCGCATCACCGAAGAAACCATGCGGAAACAAACACATTCCAACATTTCTGAACGGCGGTGCGAAATGAGTTTCGTTCCACAGTAGGCTTTTGGACGGTCACCCAACTCGTTTCCCGAGAATTGCGCCGACCCCCCGCCCCTGAGAACGCCACAGCCGCAGCCGTGCCATACTGTGGATGGACAAAATCCATTTCGCACCACTTTGAAAACCAGGGTTGAAACCATGGTTTGTTGGCATTGACAAGGCAGGTTGGAGCAGCCAGGAATACTAACAATCATAACAAGGCCAAACCCAAATCCAAGACCTTGCAGGCCTCTAAAGAGCGCTGTAGATCCCCCAGCAAAAGGTCTAACTTTTTGCTGGTTGAAAAGAAGTATGAGGGGGAATCCAAAAAGTTAAAGTCTAAAGATCCAACCCAATAGCAGTACAGCAATAAGCGGAGTTCTTGAGAACTTAGGGCCGGAGATCTGAGCAGGTGACTTGGGGGCCAACAACCAGAGACACAGGCCAGCCAAATTGCGTCAGCCGGTAGAGGCTTGGCTTCCGGGGGGGCTGTTCATCAGGGAATCCCTGATTGGGTCCCTGGTTCGTGTGGGTAAATGGGAAACCCCCCAAACCAAACCACTGAACTCCAAACCGTCCTGTTCAAGGGAAGCTGAGTCCACCTGGCCTCTTCGGTTTCTCCACCCATCACTGGGCCTCACTGGGCTATGAAGAAACCTAGCAAAAGTGTATGGGGGACAAACAAAAAGTTGGTCTGTCTTTTGGTGGAGTTGGCACCCCCTGTTTTGTATGTGTTCAAGGGAAACCGCAGGGAAAACCGGAGGGTCTCCCTACCGTGGACGGACGAAATCCTGCACCACCTGAGAAACCATGAAAAAAACATTGTTTGGTTGGTATTTCAAGAGGACTCGTCATTCCAGAGTTTCTTAGGTGGTCCCAAAAACATGACGGCCATCGCGCATCACCTCGGAAGCCGCAGCCGGGCCCCCCCCCAGTGGCCCACGCGCGCAAGTGCGCCCGGCAGCCACTGCGGAGGTTTTGTTGCGCCTCGCGCGTGGCTTGGCTTGGCTCAGAAACAAATGTCATGGACAGGAGGGCGGTGGGAGGAGGGGCTATCAGGGATCCTTGCATTTTACACCTTCACACTCCCTTGTCAATGGTGGTTTCCCCTTATTTTGGTGGAAAAAGCAACATGGCTCAAATAATTGCAAAGTGTATCTTTCTTTCGGAGCCCTGGCTATCCCTTGGCTTATCCTGCCTTTTGAGGGCAGGCAAGCCCTTGGCTTAGCCTAGACTTTCCCCCCATCAAAAAGGGGCACACTCCCACAGGCTATCGGTCGGAAGCTCCCTCAATTGGCTTCTGTAAATGAAACCAAGTCTTCCATATCGGGGTCCTGGGAGCTTCCATGTTAGTACCCCCTGTTTGGCGGTTTTAAAGGGTTACCAAAAGGAAAGCCAGCATTTCGAAAGGTCCAACCTTGACACACCAAACGTGGAACAGACAGGGGTCCCGAAAAAGGGCCCGACCCGAGCTTCCTGGTTCAACTGGGGAGGTTTTCTGGCTGATACCTCTTGTTTCAGAGGGCTGACAGACTTGGAGTCCTTCTGGTTCAAACCCCGGAGGAACCCGCAAGGAACACCAGTTCGAGCGGCTTGCGTGTCTCTTGCTCGTGTTTGCCCCCCTTTGCCGGCCAAAACCGACCGGGTGATTCAGTGGTATTTGAAGCATGGAACCGTCGAAACCCTCGCTGAAAGCTGGACATCATTTTGGGCCTTCATGTCCACCACTTACCCCAATTCAAAAGTCCGTCCTCTTTTTCAAGCAGGTGATTTTCGAATGTACCCCCTACTCCAAATCCCCGCTTTTCTAAAGATATCTTTTGGAAAACCGATCGGTTTTCCAGGATACTTACCTCCTTTCTTAGTTGAGGGTTGACATCATACCTCACCCTATCCTGAAAAGAGGCCAGGTGTTGGGTGACTTTCTGGGGCTTCGGAAACTTCCAGCAGCTCAGGCGCCTCCGCGGCAGCGGCCTCCAGCCTCTGCAGCTCCCGCTCCTGCGACTTGCCTCGCGGTCTGCGAGGCGACTTGGGCGGTGGACATCCCCACGACCCGACCACCTTCCCCAATTCCATGTTGAAGGGGGTAGGGATGCCTGGACCGCTTGTTGCTTTTGCGAGCTAGCTCTTCGGATGCGTTGCTTTTCTGGAAGCTCGTAAGGGTTTTCGTCTGGCAGCTGAATGAAGTGTCAACAAATGTCACCGGCCCACTCTGGAACCCGTGTTCTGCCCGACAAGCCAAGTGCTCCACGGACATTTGTTGCTGTGGATGGCGCAAAATCCAGTTCACATGACTCGAGACATACTGGAATGCGTCGATTCTCCGGATACCAACAAAATTTGGCTTCCCACGGCTTCCACGTGGCCCGAACTGGATTTCGCAACCATCCACAGCACCTCCGTTTTAGGCAGGGGTTGACAAGACATACCCTACTGTGGATGGACAAAATCCATTTCGCACCACTTTGAAACCATGAAAAACCATTGCTTGTTGGTATTTACAGGGGGAATCATCAGAAACCAGATTTTATTAGGTGGTGCGAAATGGATTTCATCCATCCACAGTAAGACTAGTGGGTAGTAGGTGGCCCCAGCCGCCCCTTGAGAAGGTCCCAACTCACTCAAAAGCGTGATTTACCCCGCTTTCCCCGTACCCCGCTTCTCCAAGGGGGTGGCACCCCCTCTTTGGTGGGTTTGGAAGGGAACCCAAACGGGAAACCAGGTCTATGCGCCAGATTGAGGCTAGCCAAAGGCTGAGCAGAACGAAGAGCGCCACCAGGCCGCATCGACGGACAGCTCATCCTGCCGGCGTGCTGCGGCCTCTCGAGAACTTGTCCAGCACGCGACTTTGTCCAAGAAACTCTTCCGCTGTGAGCTGTCCCGTACGCGGCATGCTCATCACCCGCGACCGGTCCTCAACCAGGCCTGAGCTGAAGGGCAACATGTAGAGGCCTCCGAGCCAGTACAGGGCCTCCCACACCATGTTGCCAGCTTCGTAATAGCCTTCCTCTGAGCTTTGTGTCCTCGCCCTGCCTCTGTCCTTGGACTGTATGAGCCAATTCGGAAACAGGGTACGCTTTAACATTGAGCGGATCGTGCTCTGGCGACTTCTGCTTCTGATGGCCAAGGTCCAGCCAGCCAGAGTGTGGAAAGCACAGACTGAGCCGACATGGAACCCAAAAAATAACAACTGTCCCTCCTTATCCGTTCCATTGGGATCACCCAACCTTCCCCCCCGGCAAAAAAACAAACAAAAAACTGAAAGCAGAAACACACAACAACACTGTCTGAATATTACCCACCCAACACAAAACAAAGAATACCAAGAACGAAGCCGGCGGTTTCCTTTTCGCCTGGTGCAGCAGTTGGATGCTTGACCAACTTGGAAAGCTGTTTACAACTATGGTTGTAGCTAGGCCAGCTGGCGTTTGTCACCTAAGGCTCTACTCAGGGGTCAGCCATACAAGGGGCATTCCAGGGGGGGTCCTTCACAAAACAACACACCCCATATGCGGCCATGATCTTTTGGACCCTATGACGTCAGAATTCGGTGAGGACGAATTTGTCCACCAACAATCTTAAAGAGATGGCTTCAAGTCTAAAAAATCATGGTCATACTGTGGATGGACGAAATCCTGCACCACCTAAGAAACCTTGGAATGATTCGCTTCCCCTGTAAATACCAGCAAACGTTACGGTTTCAACCATCGTTTCAAAGTGGTGCGAAATGGATTCTGTCCATCCACAGTTTTTTGCCCATGGCACCTGCTTCTTTGGTTCGGGGTTGACCTGCTGGTCCTCATGCCCAAAGCTTTCGGTATCCAAACCTCCCCTAAGCCTAGCCCCTGTGGATGGGCGCGAACTCCGCTTCTCGCACCAGCCTGTTCAGACACCATGGTTTATGATGATTCCCCAAATACCAACAACTGCGATGGTTTCATTCCCATGGCGGCGCGAACTGATATCCCAACCATCCACAGTATCCCCTGGTGTTCTCCGATTCTCAGACTCGAGTCTCACGAGGCTGGATACCTCCAAGCCCGAACGAGCACAAGGTCGTGATTGACCTTTTGTGGTAATGGGAAAGCGCAAGTGTATCTTTTTGAAGTGAACCTCCCGTCCCTTGTGGTGTCACCCCCAAAAAAGAAAGAAAGAAGAAACCTGTTGATTTCAGCCGAACAGCCGTTTGATGTCTCTTCACCCCGAAAAGGTCCCCACCCCTTGTCTCGGGCCCGCAAAAACAAAAATGCAACTCGACTAGGTCCTCCAGCAGAGAGCTTGGAACGCTTAGAATAAGGGTACCAACCTTTTTCTGTCTATTTGACTAGGGGGAACCGAATCTCCCAACCCCCAAAACAGAAACGGGTGAGAAAGTTGGCATTCGCTGGACGAACTCGAGACCCGCCCAGTACCTGAACGAACTCGAGCCGTAAAACCTCCCAAAAAGCGGTTCCCCCCCCCCAAAAAAAAAAAAAAAAACGGTTCACCTGGTTGGGTTTCAAAAACGGTCCCCTCCCCTTGTCTCGGGCCCGAAAAAATGAAACATAAGAAGGAAAAACAGACACAAAAAAAACAAAACAAAAAGAAGCAAAAAACGGTCACCTCCAAAGACCTCGACGAAAGACCTCACCCGCCGCTCTTTCTCTCTGGGGCGGCTGGGGCGGCCAGGCATTGCGCCATGAGCTGCAGCGTGGTGAGCTTGGAGCCCGACTGCTTGGCCGCCTGACGGAGGCTGCCGAAACCGCGCGGTTTTTGGTCGGAAGCCACCGCGTTCCGGTGGCGCCACCGCTGTGGATGGTGACGCGAAGTCCAAATCCAAATCCCGCGAAATCCACGAAGTGAAAGGGGAGAAACCGTTTCCACGAAGTGAAAGGGGAGAAACCATCAGGTTTGCTGGTACAGGGGAAACATCAGAAACCAGGGTGTTTTAGGTGGTGCGAAATGGGTTTCGTCCATCCAGTAGGGAATGACAACGAGCCCTGGGTGTTGGGAATGACTCGTGCGATGGGATTCCGGGAATGAACTGGAATGAACCCAGGCGTTGGTCATGGCTACTCTTGGGGTCGGACTCCCTTTCTCATTCCCTGCATCTCTCGCACCGGCCACAGAAACTCGGGGTGTCAAGCACTTGGATGTGCCTCAAAATACTGGGTGCCCCCCCCAAGAAGCTTGTCTGGTTCTTCTTTTGGACTCCCGATAGAAAACACCCAACCACAATGGGGTCCCTCAAAAACCGACGAGCCCTTCCGGGGTGGTTCTGAATCAGATGGAGAGCCAGGGCCTCAGGGGAGGCCCTAAAGGGCTACGAGAATGTCACCTAGGCAACCAGGAAAACCATCATGTAAAAACTCGATCCTAACATTCCTAACAAAGAATTAGAATTCCTGGCAATCCATGATTATCTTCTCCCACAATGTCCTAAAGATTCAACCTTGTTCGAGGGGAATGGATCTCATCACAAGGAACTCAGGGAGAGCCAATGAAAAGTACAAAAACCGAATGCGAAAAATCCTTGGGATAGACTGCTTGCCCCACGGTGGCCGAATGGCGACCACGACATGGGTTTTGGAGGCGGTGAAAAATAGACACGCCTGGTTCCCTGGTGCTTCAATCATCTACCAGGGCCATCTATGTTCGACCTCACCAACCAAAAAGGACACATGGTTATAAGCATCCACACCTCCAAAACCAGCGGAAATGATGGGCCAGGAGGAAATATCTTCGGGAGAATTGAAGAAACCACACACATGTCTACAGGAAAAACTGCCAAACACCAGCCAAAACCGGAGACTTCCTGTACAACTTCCTCAAAGAATTTCCAACAAAACGCCCGCCTTGCTTCTCGGAACCCGGAGGCTCCAAAACTCGATTGATTTAGGGCCTTCAAACAACCTGGTTTTGAGAAACCAATTCGCGGGGCGGCTAATGCTTCGGGGCTGGGGGGAAGACCATAAGCCGAAGCCGATCGAATCGGTTTTTCTGGGGAGGCAACCAACGCAAACACAAACTCCCATCAGATCAACTGCTTCGGGTGTCGTGTGTGCTTTATTCGCTTTGGGTTTCCACCCGTGGTTTCAGCAGGTCATTGAGTTTCTCAGAAGGAAAAGGGTCGGAAGGCCAGGAATCATCCCGCGCGCCTTCTCCTTGAGCTCATTGAAGAAGCCTCTCATGGCCTCAGAAGACGAGGCACCCCTACGCGTGCACTCCAGCTTAGTTTGGCCTTCTTTTGTGGTTCAAACCTGCTATGTGGCTGTGGGTCAAAATCCAAATCGTACCGCCAGTGAACATTCCAATCCCCACTAAAACGCTAAAATAGGTTCTAAAATGGGTGGTGAATTCACCTACCCCAAAATGGGATCCTTTTGGTGTTGACAACCACGGCCATATTGGTTTCTTCCATTTGCTTCAGACGGTTTCGTGCTTTCCCTCGGCTTCGGAATCTACTGGACATACTGTGGATGGACGAAATCCATTTCGCAGCACCTAAGAAATCCTGGAATGATGATTCCCCTGAAAATACCAACAAACCATGTTTGTTTTTTGGTTTCTTAGGTGCGAGATTTCGTCCATCCACAGTATTTCCGCATCTTTTCCTAAGAAATCCTGCCCCAAGTTTAGGCAGCTAGTCTTCGTTTGACAGGCTTCGAGAGAACCGTCTTCCGACTGTCAGCTACGGATTGCTGAAAAGAGGAGAACAAGCCTCCCTGGAATCACAGAACCGTGGACAGACTACCTTCCCACTCCGCTCTCTGACGGTTTCATGGAAGGTTGAACTAAGGCCTACCCGCTGGACCCCACTGACCACGAAACGTAGACCTCCATTTGCTGTAGTCCCCCGGAAAAAATGGGGAAATACTGTGGATGGACGAAATCTCGCACCACCTAAGAAACCAAACAAAAACATGGTTTGTTGGTATTTTCCGGGTCATCATGATGATTCCGGAATTTGTTAGGTGGTGCAGGATTTCGTCCATCCATAGATTCCGTTCAAAGCCAACAGGGGAAAGCACATCGTCTGAAGCAAATGGAAGAACCCAATATAGCTAGGTAATCAGCCATTTTGAACTGGTAAGGAGGGGCCTTCCATGGATGTTTCTCCAAGAACACAACGATGCGATGTTCCCGGATTCCACCTAATGCTAACCCCGGATTAATAAACCCCTGGTTGATTGATAGGGGGCGTCCCCCTTTTAGTGGGGATCCATCACTTTTGGAGGGGTTTTCACCCCCCTAATCATGGGACAGGTTCTACTTAGATCCTGGGTCGACATTAATTCGGTACGCCGCACGGCTCGATCTGTTGCTTAACCCGGGGCTCCCGCCGCTGCCATGCCCTGCCGCGCCTGCGCCTGACCAGAAAAACCCGGGCAAACTTGAGCCATGACGGGGGGAGCCATGTTGGGAACATAAGTCTTCAAAACCGGGCTGCCCATTTTTCTGGATTCCCGGTTAAAAGGAAAGAACTAGCTTGTGGGTTCCATGGAAACTTCATTCCTGAACCAACTAAAAACAACTAAAAACCTAAGGATCTGGACGGCTGAGAACCGCCAACAACAATACCGGAAGATCCAGTACGGATTACCGGTCATGCCAAGCCTAGAAGCTCATTGATACTAACCAGGCCTAAGCTGCTACACAGATGGTGCCTACACAAGGAAGCTCTCATTCTAGAATGGATTAAAACCCTTCCCCCCCAAAGGCTCTAGTGCAGATTTCTCCCCACATGTGAGCATGTGGTTACAGTGGGGGCAAAAGGGGGGGGGGTGACTGTCGATTACATACTTGTCTACAACACATATGTGTGTCAAGGCGTGTTAGCTGAAAGCCAAAGGGTTGTGTTCCTCTTATTTTGGAGGCCTCCGATCTTGACACGCAAACCGCAGGCTTTGGCTCTCCATAAACCAAAGTGACAATTTGGGTCTCTTTTTTCAGCCACAGCCGGTGTGTCAAAACTAGGCACTCCAGACCCTCTGCTTTCCCAAAAAGCCTTTCGCACCTTCCCCCAATGGTACCTAACATATTTGCTTACCTGCTTTTGCTGTCGGGTGGCTTGGATTGGTGGTTCAGAGCATCCGGGCTGGTTTCCCATTCCAAACTACCAAACCAAACCACCATGAAGGGGGTACCTGATTCACGCCATTCTTGAGCAAAAACGGGGGCTTTCCATGGTACCTCATGTTTCAGCGGGTTGCGACATGATGGAATCCCTGTACAAGAAAAGGGTGGGTAGTTGAGAATCCCAGCGTTCGGGCCCTTCAAAAATTCCATAAGCATACCTTGAAAGAAGCGTGAAATTCGGGGGGTTGTACGCAGAACCTTTGCAGCTCCTCGAGACCTTGCCACAAACAACACAGGGAAGCAAAAGGAAACCCAAAGTAACCGACGAAACGCATCTTTTGGGGCTTACCCAACTTGGCGGTTGCTGCTTCTTCTTCTTCTTCTTCTTCTTCTTCTTCTTCTTCTTCTTCTTCTTCTTCTTCTTCTTCTTCTTCGTCTTCTTCTTATTCTTCTTCTTCTTCTTGCGAAACCATCCCCCCAAAAAATGTTTATATAGATATATATTTATACATATGTATATCGGTGTCTTGTTTGAGAGTACCCCAGTTTCGTGGTTTTAAGCAGAAACAAAGAGGCAAACCACACCTAAAAGAGCATGTTCCTTCTGGCTTCATCTTTCAAACCGCCGAAAAACCCCATCTACAAATGTAGAACAACAAGCCAAAAAAACGAAACCCCCCAGCTGTCCCCGCGCCCGTGGCAACGTGCCGCAGCGCTCGCGCTCGCGGGCGCGTGCCGCACGCTTTTCTTCTTCTCAGCGCCAGCGCATGGCCAGGAGCACGGCGTCCAGCAGCAGGAAGCCCCGCTCCAGGAGGTCCTGGCGCGGGACTCGGCGCGGTTCGGCGCCGCGGTTCGGCGAGCGCGGGGGTTGGTTTCGGCGTCGTCTGGTGGTGTGTTGTTGGAAGCTTTCGGCGCTTGTTGGAACCCCCGGTTTGGGGAGAGCCAAAGGGTTTTTGCACCTGAAATGGTTTGAGTTGGGGGCTTCAGAGACCCCGTGGGGTTCGGGGTAAGAGGCCTGTGGTGCTTTGGAGTCTGATTTGGGGCTTGATTTGGCCACGGTGCATTTGGTGCACATGGAGGGGTTTGGCCTCCAGTTGGCCCGGTTTGGGGGGTTGAACCTCTGGTTCCTGCACATGGCAAGTAGAGTTGGTGGCATAAGCCAGCTTCCCTCGGCTGGCTTCCAAAAACCGTTGTCCTCAGCCCTCCGGCAATCTCAGAATCCCCTTATTTGGTGGTAAACAGAGGTCTTCCGGGGCTGGTTCCCCATTTGCCTTCTGCAAGAACCAGGGACTCGTTCAAATCCAAATCCAAACCAATTAAGGAGAATCTAAAACATACTTGCTTTGATCACCAGCTACTAACTTTGACGTGTTTAGGATTGACTTGCCCTGTTGGCAAACACAGACAGGTCAGTTTGTTGCAATCCGTTTCAGCCTTGGCTCTTTGGCAGACATGAACAGCTTAGTCAGATCATTTTGGGGCAACACAGGCAGGTCAGTTTAGTTCGTTTTGGGCGACCTCTATTTCAACACCCAACCCCTGGAAAAGGGCGGTGCCGATTTTTTTGAGGGGATGCTTGAGGAAAACCGTCGTTTCAAGGGATACCCCTCACTTCAACCGGCCGGAGGCGGGAGTGGCGGCAGTTGATCGGCTGAGGAAATTTAAAAGACGCAACGGACGATACGGTTTCTTCAAGGACAACCCTTGAATTTACAACTGGTTTGGAATAAGAAAGTTGAGCGGTCCCCGTTCCCTCGAAACCGCCCAGCGCACACCCGAAAAAGACGATTTTCTAGGTACCTTCCCGTTTTCTTGCTGGTGCTCAGTGGGGAATGCGCATTCCCTGAATAAGGGTCATTGCCTCATTCCCTGCATCTTTCGCACCGATCGCAGGTTGTTCGGAACCCAAGCAAAATTTAAATAATAATTAGAGAAAAAGAAGAAGAAGAAAAAATAAGAAAAAAAATGGGAAAAAATAAGGGAAACAAAAAGAGGAAAAAAAAAGAAGAAGAAAAAAAGCGATCGAAGCACCGAGGCGTCGCCTCGATGCGGCGGCCCTCTTTCAGCATCTGCCGCTCTTTGGCCGAGAGGCTATGGGCGCGGCTCCTCGGACCGACGCACCGATCTCACTGCGAGACACGAGTGGATGCGGGCTCGCACCTACCAACCATGTCGACCCTGAGTCCTGGGCCCCTTTAAAGGGAAACCCAAAGGAGGTGTCTAAACTTGGGGTGATTAAAGATGTTTCATGTTGACCCCAGATGTGTCAACCCCAGTTTAATAAATTTGGGTTTTTTGGTGCCGGCCCTCCAAAAGTGGTTTGATTCCCCACATTCCACCCAGGTTGGCACCCCCCTACTAGTAAACTGGGGTTAAGTAATACGGGGTCAACACTAGTGAAATCGATTCCCATTAAAGCCAGGCGAAAACCAAAACCGATCTTTGTTCACTACCCTTTTTGAGACAAAGGTGGGCTCATCCCGTTAACCCCAAAGAAGGTGGTTGCAAAATAGACAAGTGTCCGTCACAAGGAGCGAGGTGGGAGGTGGGGCGGGTTCGCCACGTTTAGAAGCCAGCAACACCAAAAGGGAGTATCTTCAATGAGACGGGTTTGTCGGCCTGAGGGGAAAGTAAGGCCGAAATAAGGCCAAAGGCATTAACGGTTGGAAAGGTCTTCAGGGGTATGTAGTCCTGAAAACTGGAGGAAAACGGGAAGGAGCTACGGGGGCATGGCCGGAAATGTGGGGAAATGTAGGCAACAACGTGTAGGAAGCTGTTCGCGGAAAAACTGGGAAATCAGGGCAGTCCGGAAACAAGCAGGTGTCTACCCGTTTTCCTGCGAAGAGCAGGAAGAACAGGCGCCGCCAAAGTCAAGGTGAGACGACGATCGGGGCGAATTAGAATACTTCACAAACTGAAGGAATCCCCCAGAGGGCCCCTCATGGATGAGCTGCGCTCTTTCTTTTGCCACAAGAAGGTGAGCTAAAACGCAAGCAATTGAGAGAGTCTGGCAATGATCATCGGCACCTTGCGGGTTCTCCAATCAATCTTCGCTTTAAAACAAACCCAAAAGGGGTACCTTCCAAAAACACGCACCCTACAAAGGTGTCAGATGTTGTAGGTACTTAAGGAGGCGATTGGCTATTGAACGCAAACAAGGGGGCTTACGACAAGGAGACAGTTCGGCGACTGACCACTTGAGCTCACCAGCTGATCGCCGCCTCACGGCTGAAAGATGACATGCACTATGTTCTTAGGAACATGACTCAGTTTGGTCTTAAAGTACCCGGCCCAATCCTACTGTGGATGGACAAAACCCTGCATGGGAAACCATTTGTTGTGTTTGCGGGGGAAACATTATTCCATCTCTTAGGTGGTGCGAAATGGATGTCGTCCGTCCACAGCATTCAAATGATTTGCCTTTCTAGTATTTTCTTGTGCCGCCAAGATGCTCCAGAGGGATGATGCGGGCGTTTTCCTGATGCCAAGACAGTCAACTGGGCCGCATCCAAAGATCCGATGCTTCGCAAGGGCAAGGATTTTTGGGGGTTCAACCACCTACTCCCTGGGCTGGCCATCCTGCGGAGGGAGCGACAACCCCACAGTGGGCTTCGGCTTCAGCTGACACCGACCCCAACAATCCTCAGCAAAGGACACGCCCCTTGAACAACAAAAGCGGGCTCAAGCAAGGGCGGGTTCAGCTTCATCTTAGCAACGAACACAAACACAATACGGACGTCTTGTCGGCTGTCGCCATACATGGGTATGTCGTTTTTTAGGGGACCCCCGAAATTGGCTCTCTCCGGCTGTCCTTTTGGTTTCCCTCTAAACGAGACCCATAAGGCGTACCAACTTCAAAAGCAGACGGATTGCCAGCCAAATACACCCATCACCCGGAAGGCTTTCTGCTTTCCGAGTTTCAACTTTGAGGGGGTTGGAGGCTTAAGGCAGGTTGGACATATGTCCAGAACCCGAACTTGATGACAACTAAAAATGAGAAGGTTCCCCCTCTCCCTTTCCCCGGAAGCAGACCCAGCCAAAGCCCATTTTTTATATCCTAACTGTAGATGTCCCTCCCCTAAAACGACTGACCTCTCTTCGGTTCCCTTTAAAAGGAAGCTGCTCTTGGAACCGCCGTTTCTCCGGGGCCGTGTGGACCTCGCCGGAAAAAAAAAAGAAGGAACGAACCCCGCGCACCCCGCGCCGAATTGAACGAACCGCCGCCGGGGCGCGGCGCGGAACCGGACCCGGAGGTTGAGGATCGCCTGCATCGCCAGGTCCTGCACCGCGA